TCGGTTGTCGACTGTGCGACTATTCGCGGAAGCGTACGGGTAATCGTACTCGGCGACCGGAACGTGAGACGGCAGTCTCGTTCGCGTCGCGTGAGCCTGCAATCTCATCCGAAGTCAAGGGCGGCGTGGTCTGCTGATCTGGACGTGAGACTGTCGTCTCGTCCGTAGACGGTGCAGATGACGCGTGCTGTTGACTGGGACGTGAGAATGAGGTCTCAGATGTATCTAGCGTGGGACCTGAAGATGATTTGAGGATCCCGCTAGTAGGTTTGCTAGGTCTAGCATTGAATCTCAGGTTGTCAGATAGGGCATTGTCATCGACGTGTGCTGACAATCTCGACGCGGCCGTGTCGATCAACCTTGAAGGTCTTTTCGTGACGAGCGATCACGCGAAAAGGGCCTTCGTAAGGTTGTTGCAAGGGTTTGCGTACCGAATCTACTCGTACAAAAACATGTGAACAGGTAGATAATTCTCGAGGGAGAGCGACCTGTCGATGTTGTATTCGAGTTGACACCGGAGGCAGCGTTCACATAAATGCAGACACTCGTTGGACATAGTCTGATTTAGCGAAATTAGTTCTGCTCCGTGGTGTGAAGAATTCTCCGGGCAGACGCAATGTCGTGCCGTATACAAGTTCAGCGGCGGAACATTGGATATCTGCCTTTAAACACGTTCTGATACCTAAAACAACGAGCGGTAAGGTTCCGTACCAGTCGTCGTTTTCGGGTGCTCGAAGAGCACTTTTAAGTTGCCGGTGAAACATTTCAACTAAACCGTTTGAAGCTGGATGGTAGGCGGTAGTGCGTATTCGTTCCGTACCAAGCAGCCGAGTAAGTGAGGAGAATAGTGCGGACTCAAATTGTTGTCCTCGGTCAGTCGTGACAGTCGAGGGACAACCATATAGAGCTATCCATCGTTCTACGAAGCGGTGAGCAACTTTCTCCGCCGTGATAGACGTGATGGGTATAGCTTCGGGCCATCTGGTGAAGCGGTCGATGCACGTGAGTATGTGATCATACCCGTGCGATGGTGGCAGTGGTCCTACAATGTCTAAGTGAACGTGATCGAAGCGAGCATCAGGCGTAGCGAATGTACCGAGGGGGGCGGCTACGTGCCTGTGCACTTTTGATCGTTGACATTGTAAGCATTGCTTAGCCCACATACGAACATCTTTATTCATGGACGGCCAGACGTATCGTGCAGCGATGAGGCGTAATGTAGCTGCGATACCTGGGTGAGATAATCCATGCAGGGCATCGAATACGAGACGGCGATAAGCAGAGGGTACGATGGGTCGAGGAAGACCGGTAGAAGTATCACATAGAATGGTGCCAGAAGTCGTGGCCAGAGGTACTTCCTGATACTGAAGGGACGTAGAGTGTGGTGCTTCTGTACAGCTGGGATCGTTTGCTTGGGCAGCAGCCATAGCAGGAAGATCGAGCACCGGCAGGGTAACTGCATTCATTTGGATTCGTGATAGAGCATCGGCAACACAGTTCGACTTGCCTTGGATGTGACGAAGGTCTGTCGTGAACTGGGAGATATAGTCCAAATGTCTGCACTCTCGTGGTGAGTAGCGGTCAGACTTGGTATGCAAAGCATACGTTAAGGGCTTATGGTCGGTGAATAAAATGAATCGACGTCCTTCTACTGCGTGCCGAAAATGTTTGATGGCGCAGTAGGCTGCTAGCAGCTCGCGACCAAAAGCGCTATATCTCGACTCCGTGGTAGTGAGGCGTCGTGAGAAAAACTCGAGAGGTTGCCAACTACCGGAGATGTTTTGTTGCATGACTGCTCCTATGGCAACATCGGATGCATCAACCGCTATACTAAGCGTGGCTGATGGATCGGGATGGGCGAGAAGAGTGGCTTGCGCAAGAGCCGTTTTGATTTCAGTGAATGCAGTACGTGCAGAATCGTTCATTTCCAATCTGCGTGGGTTACCGCGTAGTAAGTCGGTTAGTGGTCGTAACCGTTCTGTCGCGTGTGGGATGAAACGACGGTAGAAGTTAACCAAACCGAGAAAAGCCTTCAGTTCCTTGAGTGAGGACGGCACGTTGTACTCCTTTATTGCTTGCACTTTGTCCTCACAAGGTAAAATACCCTCTTGCTTGATAACATGACCCAGAAATATTATTTCTCGTTTACCTAACTCGCATTTGTCTGGGTTAACTACTATTCCATTATCCGAAAGTCGTTGGAATAATAGCGTAAGATGTTGATAATGTTCATCTACGTTTGATGATGCGATTAGTAGGTCATCAATATAGACGTGAACAAAATCGAGGTCTCGTACAATGCTATCGATAAACCTTTGAAAAGTTTGAGCAGCATTCCGTAATCCAAATGGCATTCGTAGGAACTCAAGCAAACCGAAAGGAGTCGTGATAGCGGTCTTTTCGATATCTTCAAGAGCGACTGGGATCTGATGATATGCTCGTACCAGATCGATCTTAGAAAAGATAGTCGTGCCCTTGAGCAATGCCGTGATGTCGTGTATGTGGGGGATGGGGTAGCTATCAAAGCGCGTAACTACGTTTAGAGCTCGGTAGTCGCCGCATGGTCTCCAACTAATCCCATCTTTTTTGCGCACCATGTGTAGAGGAGAGGCCCATGGACTGTGAGAAGGACGAATAATACCAGTAGCTAGTAAACTGTCAAACTCACGCTTAGCAAAAGCTAATTTGTCCGGTGCCAGTCGGCGAGGTCGTGCCGTGACTGGCGGTCCGCGGGTGACTATGTGGTGTACCACACGATTGGTCACCGATGGAAGCTCCTCGAGTGGTTTAGTGAGTACGGGGAATTTCTCGAATAAAGCGTGGAATTTATCGTCACGCGAGTAAAAAGTGCCGAGGATTCGGTACGCGTTCATGTGGGCTTTACAGCCCATGAATTTGCTGTTCGACGAAGTATCGATTAGCTGCAGCCTACGTGAATCGACAAGCAATTCATAGTGCTGTAGAAAATCGATACCTAGTATGGCTGTGGGAACATCAGCAATGATGAACGTCCACAGATACCGTCGTCGGTTGGCCAGGTTGACCGCAAGTTGTCGTGTACCGTAGGTAGGAATGACTGAGCCATTCGCAGCGCGTAGTCGAAGCACTGTGGCTTGTGACTTGCTGCTATCTCGTGGTACGACAGAGACTTGGGCCCCACTGTCTACTAGGAACCTAGCGTTTGTGCGACAATCGTGCACATAGAATAAGCGACCAAACTGGGGAGAACGGCCGACGAGTACGGCCGCTTTTACTCGCCGGCACTGGCGTTTCCCGCCTTGTATGAGCATGGTGCTCGACAACGGCGGGCGCCAGACCCGAAGAACCTATGGAACCAGCACCACCTGTCACTCGCTTCCGTAGCCGCCTTTCGGCGTGGCCTGGAAGATGCCCTTTTTGGGCGAGTGGTGACGGGTTTGCGAGAACTTGAGCGAGCTCGGGGGACGTAGGGTTGGGGTACGTTACAACGGTCTCGAAAACTAAGACGTGTGTGAATACACCCGTCCCTGTCACCATGAGGTGAGGAATGAGCGGCGTCCATGTCTACTTTAGGACGTGCCGTCGAAGCAACTACATAGGTGTCTCTATTGCTAGTCCTCGCCAGAATTTTGTCTGCTATGAGGGCTACCTGGTTAAGCGGTGAGTCCTCGAGCAGTGCCGTCACAGTAGGTTGGATATGGGCTGGTAGTGACTCGAGCCATAATTCCTTAACTATCTCCGAGTCAGATGCTGTTGGTCCTGCAAGAGATTGCAGGCGCGTGAGGTGATGGCTTGGTTTAGCATCACCCAGGGGGTGACGTGCTAACAGGGTCCTCAATCGTTCCTCCCTCGACGGGAGGAAATGTCGGAGAATCGCCTCCTTGAGGCGGTCATAAACATTAGGCACGTTAGAATTGAGGACGACCTCACGAACAGCTACTAAATGGTCCCCGGGTAACGATTCGAGAGCGTAGGCGTATTTTTGCCTTTGGCTCGTGATACGACGAGTCTCGAACTGAGACTCTATTGCAGCAAACCAGACCTCAGGGTCGTGGGGGATAAATGATACAGGTCGAAAATGAATGGCCTGTACGTCTGAGTCTATAACATTAATAGTATTCTTCTCGCTATCCGTCATGTCGTGTATATTATATATTAAAAATTAATATGAAAATATACGACAGACGTGGATAGATAAATAATAGACTCACCAAATTGACTTCTTTGGAAGATTTGACCCGAGGTTGCGGCGTGTTCCAAACTTTGGGCTCACCAATTGTAGCGTGGCGTCGAGTTGAGATTAACTGTGAACACCGCTACCAGGAAACACGTGCCAGATAAATCAGAAGGCGAGGGTTGAATGTAACCAGATTTATTTCGTTGGCGATCTCGTGGTATTGAACGAATACCAAGATCGTGCCAAGAAGAGGTACAAGCGAAAGCAGAAGACAGGAGTACGTGCGAACAGTACCAAACACCGCGGAACAATGATGGAAGGTAATGGAAGCACAAAATGGCTATAATTAGCACAGTTAAACAAAAGCACATTAAAACAAACACTGGTACAGTTGGTTATAATAATAATTGTTTTTATTAAACCAGTCGTGTTCTCGTGATAAACGTGAGTCACTACAAGAGCTTAGTGACCATGGTGAAATATAAATTGTTAAACATGTTCAGGCAGAAGTTCGCAATCGTGAAGACAAGATGCCCGAATCGGAAAAGTGGTTAAAAGCGAGTACTATGAAAGATTAAGACATACTAAAATAAGCATATTGACTTGAAAAACCTTATACGCAGAATAGTAAGCTGAAATACAAACACAATTGTCGATTAATTCGGACGAAACTCGAAAAGAAAAGCGATCTGCAAAATGCGAACCTCAGGACGAAAGCTACGTGATTTTTCAGTCTAAGTGACTAGTATTACCATGCTATTTGTTTATGCTAATCACTATAAATGCCGGCCTTTTCAACCAAATTACTGTTAACATTTGATGGGGTTTTCGTTACTGATGGACCATGAGTTGCCAAGCCTTTTCAAAAAATATTGGTCCAGCTCTGATTGCTTGGTTTCTCCTTATATTTCTTACTGTTTTGTATTTAGTGTTTATGTAGGTTATTATAAGCTTACTACTAACTTTTCAGTTGTTGGGATTTTAGCAAAGAAACTAGTTATGCATTTATTGTGTGTCATTCTTTGCTGTTTTTCTTTGTGGTATCTGCATTTGGCAAGGCAACCTTCATGGACCCTGGATATTATGCTATGGGTGCGTCCTGAGCCTCACACTAACCGTTTGTAAATAGGGGTTCCCGGTGAAAAGATGACTACTGTTGAAAAAGGTTCCCCTCGTACTGTAATGTATAAATCTGTTGACATAAATGGAGTTTCCACCCGTTTGAAATGGTGTGTCACATGTGAATTTTACAGACCTCCTCGCTGTTCTCATTGCTCTATTTGCAAACATTGCATTGATGTAAGTTGTTCAGTCCTCCAAAAGATTTTCAGACGTTTGATCATCATTGTCCTTGGCTGAACAATTGTATTGGGAAACGAAACTATCGGTATTTTTTCTCGTTTCTACTCACATTAACTCTTCATATGATTATTGTTTTTGGCGTGTCCATGACGTATGTTCTGATGCGTACGAATGAACTCTCTCACTACAAAGTCATTATTGCGTATCCTTTATCTTGTGTCTTTTTAACTGGAGACAAAATTTTCAGTATTCCTTAGCTTATCTTTCAGCATTGGTGTGTTAATTTTGGTAGGCTTATTGCTGCTTCCTGTGCTAGGTCTGACGGGATTTCACATTTTTTTAGTCAGCAAAGGACGAACTACAAATGAACAGGTAAGTCTTAGGTGACTTTCGCCCGAGAGTTTTGTCACTATATATTTCATCAAGATGTTTGTACAAATATCTTTTGTTTGTCGATATTAACCTGCTGAGATTGCTAATTCCCATATGTCAGAGGAATGTATCCGCTATGACTTGGGATTTGAGCATGGATTTAATTTGACTTTAGTGGCCTAAATTCTCCATAATTTGGGATTCATGTGCTTCATGAGTTAGGGTGTACAGCCACAACACATGGGTCAACTAAGTATTACTTTTGATTGTAAGATTTTAAAAAATGGAAAACTTTCCTGGCAACCTATTGATCAGTGTTTTTAGTCTGAAATTACAACGTGATTTCAATTCAAAAGTGTCTTACCTGTGTCTTTATATCTCCAGACTGACCGAAAAATGAAAACCAATTGTTATAGAACTTCTGACAAAAGACGACGAACTTTTGATGTATGATAGTTTGATATTAAATATTTTAGACTTGAAATGATATGTATAATTCTAGTCTTTTAGGTGTTTCTTTGATATCTGTTAATTCTTGCGAATTATTTTTTTAATAGACTTCAATTTCATCTTCGTAAGTTTATAGTCACTCTATTCCCAAGTCTGATCCTACAACTGCTTAATTATGGTAATGTAACTTACTCTTGTTTCACTTGTTTACCTCATTATTGTTATATTCTCATTATCCAACATTTTTTTCCTTTATAATTTCAAAGGTCACTTCAAAATATGATCTTGATATGAACCCTTATGATCGCGGCCTGTGCAAGAACTGGCTACACATTTTTTGTACCTCTCAACCACCTATGTAAGTTTTGTTTCCTCAGTTTATTTTATATTTTCCATGTAGATTGAATCGACCAAATGTAGCAGAAGTTGATATGTGGGAAATATCCTATAATGGTAAACCTATCAAACACCATCAAACATCAAATTTGCGTTCTGGTTCTAATAACTACAAGCTTTCTGATACTTTTGTAAGTTAATTCATCCTGCCGTAGTATTTTGTAAATAGTTGTTTTTCTAATTCGTTGTTTCGGCTCTTTAATCTGTAGACTAAACTGCAAAATATACTACTAGTTAGATAAGACCTCTAGTCTTTCTACTTGTTAAGTCTCTCCATGAATACAATTTAATATTTACTGTTGTTAACTATGTGTAAGTTTTCAACTGATTGTTCACGCTTCATATGAAAAATTTTATGTATACCTCTATTAGTCACTCACCCATATACGAAATTCCTTCCTTTAGCAAACACATATCTACATATGATTTCTATTTTTGCTGAAGTAGTTTACTTTGTGTTTCATCTTTTTCCTCCTTGTGGTAATTAAAATCATGTTTAGGTGTTTATTTTCGGCTGTTTCTTGTTTAGTGATCACGCGCTACTTTCGTTCATGAGTAATTCATCTCAATCTCTGATTTGCGATTCTACAAGCTTCAGTAAAATATTTGCCTTCCTATTCTTTTAGTTGTTAAATATATTAATTGTTTAAAGATCTTCATCATATTACAAGACCGATATTTGAACAAATAGTATTCTTTTCGATAAATTCTCTTCAGGTTCTAAACGTGGATCTTAAATTTTCGCTCAACATATATGCTGATTCGAATTAACATTCTGTATGGGTCATATCAACATTAACAATTTTATTCTATTTATTTTAACAATCATAAATTCACACTCGTTAACTTTAAACGATGTACTTTTTCCTTAACCTGACCATTTTTCGGATTATTAGTTTGGATATATAATTGTAGAACTTGAAGAGAATTTATCGAAAATAATATTCTTCGTCCGAATATTAGTCTGTAGCGTGGTGTCGAGTCGCGATAGACTATGAACACCACTACAAAGGAACGCGTGCCAGGATATCCATAATATTCCCCGGAAGCGAACTATCAGAAGGCAGTTAATGGACCAAATCGAGATATATTCGCTGGCGATCTCGTGGTACCGAAAGGATACCGAGATCGTTCCAAGATACAAGCTTGGTTACAGAACGTAACCGAATTCGCGCGAGGTCACAATCAAAGTGTAATAATAATAATGATGGAAACACAATGTAGCTATCATTAGCACAGTTAAACAAAGAGCACATTAAATCAAGCACTGGTACAATTGGTTATAATACTAATTGTTTTCATTAAACCAGTCGTGTTCTCGTGATAAAAGTGAGTCACTGCAAGTCTGTTGAATATATATGCTGAAATGCATAACAACTGTTATGGCACAGGATATACTCTACCGGTTGACCACTCTGTTGTCAATTCATACCGTTGTTTGAAAGCTACGGAGCTTTAATTTCAACTCAGATCGCAACAACAGCCAGCTTATTTTATTCAATTTATAACTCTGTCACTGAACTATGAGTCGCTTTGTATACATTTATGAGCCCGAAAAATTACAAAATGTGACGTTATTTTAGCTAATTTTTAGTTACGATGAAATTTAAGTGGTTTAGAGTAGTAATTAAGACTAGAACTGTTGTAACGCAGTTCAACTGAGCTGTTCAGTTGTATTGAGATTTAACTTGTGTGAAAATTACTTGGCACTGGTTCTGTCTTTATGATAACAATCCTAACGTTTACTTTTAGAAATTTTTAGCCATTTCTACTAACGACTGGTCAGTTGTCATTTTTTTTTGAAAACCGTCTAATTGTGGAATTAAATCAGTACAGATACAGAGAAATACCCTTGTCTCACGTAATTAAGGGATTCGTGTACTACGTAATAAATGAGACTGATTTCATTATCAATTGTTTGGCTGGTTATCACATCATATATATGGATAGCCGGAGTTTGACCCCACAACACACTTTAAAGGCCAAGTCTATGAATCAATAATATATAAACATTATATGACATCGATTATTTGTGCAGTTCGTCTGACTGAAGTCTTGAATTTCTAGCTAAGTAGTTGAATATTTATATTACAAAGTTATACAGACCAAGTTTGCATATATGTTGTTGAAACGATTTCTGTCTATCAGCCATAATCAACGTAGAAACTTGCACAAATTTTGGTCAACTCGATTCTTCATACTTTGTTAACACAAGGTGGAATTAATAAAATGAATAGATATGTGGTCAAAATAATTGTAGTAGCAATCATAATTAAAAAGACTGAACATTAAGACTAAGGTTTAGGAAGAAAGAATGAAAGGATATGTATGAATATATTCTGGGATTCATGATCTAGAAGATAAAGAATAAATGGATGTTTGTTTCTGTGACTGATTCTTATCTATGTCACCTAGTGTACTCAACTATTGAGAGCAGTCATCGCACGGACCTCAATCAGGTAGTTTTCAGCTACCAATATGGCTCAAACTTTCATAAGTTCTGTAAAATGATTTAGTTAGTTCATGATGAATTACTGCTACCCTTTGTTCCCACACAAACTATTATCTGTCAAGTTCATTTGCGTTAAAAATGCTCGAGAAATGTATTGTTAAACTTATTTCTAGTTTTTGTGTGACAATATTTTTTTGTATATCTTTGTAGAAATCATCTAAAAACCCGGTTGATATTGTTAAACAGGGAGAGTTGTTTGTGAAAAGGTGGATTTGGAAGATATAGTTAATCATTCTTCTGATCAACGAAACACATCCGAATTAATATCAAGTGTTCATCATGAATTAAACAAATCTCTTTCACCCAACCCACAATCAAAAGTTTTATCCCTTAAAGAGTTTTCAAATGCGACCCACACTAATGAAAACCTTATGTCTAGATCGCAATCTCCTGTTTGTGGAAGGACTGGCGAATTAAATAAAACAAATCCAAATCTTGCTTTAGTAGGAACAAAGTCAAAGTCTTTAGGTAACAAAGATCAAGGTAAAAGTCTACTGATTGGGACAAATACACCAAAATATGTATCAAATGAAAATAGTGCTACCTTTAATTCTAATATCAATTCTGTTGTAACATCTACTAATGTCCCCACGAAAATCATATCCGATAGAGATCGTTTCGGCATAAAAGGTGACCACTTAACTCCACTTCTAGGATCTCAAGCGAATTCGGACGTTGACTTGATTCGGGGACGTCAATTGCAAAAACTTACCATAGAAAACCAAAGTAAGTCGAGTAATTCGCTTCATCTCAGACAACAGGATCAGAGTGCCGCTACCGAAATTGGAAGAAGTTCTTCACGTTCTTCTCGTTCCAATGAAAATATGTGTCCTTGTACATCATCTAATTCGATGATGAATATCCGCGATCGAGTCACCCTACCGATAAGTTCACATGGTGCGCCATTTTCTCAACCGCGTGTTGCTACTGCCGAACAATTCAGCACTCAGGATTTAAATGGTACACAGTGTACATCTAAATCTTGCTCTCCTTCAACAGGTCGTGGTATACATTATGTCACGTCAGCCACACTTGATTGTTACACCCCTGAATCTGTAAATCTACCAACTAGCAATATATCAAGGGGTTTTGTGAAATCAATGAGATCTGAACAACGCCGTCATGAATTTCCGCACCAGTTTTATCCTCGGTCTCCTGGAATGCAAGTAGATCAAAGACACTTACTACCCCATAATGAAGTTGCCAATCATTTATCTCCACGGTCACTTCACAGTCTTCCTCCACCTCTACCTCCTCATGGCTCCCAGACAAATATTTCTCATGCTCGTCCATTTTGGCCTCCAGCTGTACCTCCTCACGGTATTTCTAAATCAGTACCATATTTCTTGCCGGTTGATACAGCTAGTCAATTTAGTAATACCACAGCATCCTCTAATCTTCGTTTGGTCAAACCACCTTATTTCAGTAATCCTCATGGGGTTCAAGTGGATGGATCTAGTTACTTCATAGGTAGTCCACGTACAAATGAGCAGTCAGCTTCAAAATTTGTATCTCAGTCATTTGGTTCGACTCATTGTCCTTCAATTATGACACAAGCTGGTTCACGTCCTACGCCACCATTACCTCCGCATAATCGAATTTCTAAACTGAATGCACCAAACAATCGAATGCAATCAACTGGACATAGGAATTCTAATCATTTAGTCACACGATGGCAAAAGGATGGTGATTCTAATTCTCCTGATGGGACTTTTGAAATTTCAGTTTAGAAAATGTGTGTTGATAATTCCTTTTACCTAAAAGTGATGCTAAAATTTTTAACCAAGTTCTTTCATTTTTTGTTTTCTTCGTTGTTTTTCGTTAGTCTTTCAAAATATCTTTGACCACTGTAAAATTCCTTGTCACTCAACGAAAGAATTTATCTTGTTGCTTTTATAAATCTCTACAACTTGTTGTATAAATAACGTTTCTAAGCTATATTCTGTGACTATTATGTACTCTACTTGTAACGATATGTTCATAAAGTTTAATATTCATGAATTTGAAAAAGAAAGATTCGTAGGCAAATAATGGAATATTCTAAACGTTATTATGAAATGAACAACTATACATATACTTATGTGCAATAAAAAAACAACCACTCTTAATTGTTATCTATTTCTTCTTCAGGATTTTACGCATAGTTTACGTTTTATTCACTGGATTCTTTCTTCTAGAAAATGCATTATTATAAACTATACAACGAATTCTCATTAATATCTAGGCTCTCAATCAAATCAAAGAAAAAATATACAAATTTCATACCGTTTTATAAATTTGTTCAGTATTCGACAATGTAAACAAAGTAATTAAAAAAACTCATGCTTGTATATTACATAATTTTTACCGTTTTTTTAAAAAATTGCAATTATATATGGATCTATTTGTTCATAAATATGTGAATCCAATTTCACTGAATAATAACGGTACATAAAATTGTTGCTGCTAATGTTGATGAGTGACCTACAACTGCCTTTAATTTCTACATTTGTTTGAAAGAAAATTCCCTCTAAATTAAATATTATCAACTGTGTTGTGTTTGTATATCTTGTGGCCTTTTTGTTCTTAATCATACAATAAAAATATACGTTTATACTATGTTGGATTGATTATGCCTAATTATTGAACAAGTGCTGTGTACACCTTCATGTAGTTCGTTGTTACGTCGATTTTATGTACAATTTTCTGCTCTGTACAGAAAATAAAAGTGAATTAATACAGTGTGTACTCTTTTTGATACGTCTGTTTGGCTCTGAATAACGGTTGCTCTAAAATATTACTTTAATGATATATCGATTGTGTTTTCTGCCATCCACTTGTCCGTTATAGTGTTAAAGCTTTTATACATTGAGAGTCGAGTTTTCTGTTCTTTTTAACCTCATTAATCATGTATTGTTTATCCATTTTACAGAAAATTGGAATATAAACGTGTGATTAAACTGGTAATTGAGGTTTACAGAAAAAGCACATCATTTAGACATTAATTCAGAGTTAAAAGATTCAGATTTACTGACTTCAGTTGGACAAAACTATTGAGTACTGTTCAGTTCTCCCTAATTTACCCCTAACAGTAAAACTATATTAAAAGGGATCTCAGCAAACTTTGAAAATACTCTAATCTCCCGTGCAGTGAGATGATATTCAAATATGTAGCACCTGCTTAATAGTTAATGATAATATCAGTCTAATACAATAGTGTACAGATGTTTATTAGTATGTTTTTTGTATATCTTCGTATTTGCACAAAAATATATTCTGCATGTAATCACTCAGTTTATAGCAATGGCTCCCTGGAGAGCAAACTTGAATTTGGTTACAGTTATAGCACTGATTTAAGAGTTCTTAATCGGTTATCATTTGCGCGAGTTGACATTTCTGCATACCTATCTTTTTTGTCTTAAAAGTCAGCTTCGTTCTAAAGTTGAAGTTGGAAATAATTTGTCGTTTTCACGTATATCACTAGATAACTATATAATCCCTATATTTCCTAACTATGAATTCTATTCGAGATTATTACTACTCTTGTTCTTTTATCTTTTTAAAATTTAATTCGAATTCAAATTTCATTTTCTGATTTGTTGCAATAGCTGTGCTAAAAACAGGCTGAATTTTTGTTGCTTCACTCTAGAAAGAAGTACCGTTTAATGTCATGCGTGTATTTCTAAATAATTCAGACTTCGTATCTATACTCCACTTTTTAGTGTTCGTTACATTTAAATATCAAGTTTCTTAAAATTATCTTCAGCTTTCACCTTAAAAAGGCTTTACATTGACTCAAGCATAGTTGTATTTGTCCATATATATTACTATTATGTTCTTTTTCAGTTACAAATAGCTAATCAGAAAGAATCTGGTTTATAAAATTAATAAGCCAGAAAATGTTTGCTTGAAGACTTTTCCAGTTTGCATCTCACGTATTAAATATGAAGATCCTGTACAACTATATTAACTTCTTTAAACACATACAATTGGTTACTGTTCTATATTTCTTGAAGGTCCTCCTAAGTTTATAAATTTGCGAATTTTTTTCAGTGTAGAACAAATTAGATAAATTTTATTTATTACATTATTTCGTGAATTTCAGACAATATGGAAAGTTGTTCAAGGATATTACAACCGTTATTGTAATCTACATTATAAGTTGTAGAAATCCAAACTTATAGACCGTACTCTGTCTGTATAGATCTCAAACAATGATCTCAATAAGTTTATTTTATTAAAATGTGATTTTTAAAATTCTTTTTTTTGTATAAGTGAATGCTTGTACATTATTACGCTTTGATTCGTCGAACTTTGTTACTTAATGAATTATTGTTCTTTTTCAGTTGTTTTGCTGAATGCATTGGATCGAAGCTTCAGTTTAAAACAATGACGTCAAGTTTATATGATGACTTGGATATTTTAGACGGAACACCTCTCGATAATTTAACATCAAGCGAGTCGTGTAACAAGTCAGGAAATGCTCCATTAGTTGGTTTGCGTGTCACTGCTAACTGGTCGGAATCTGATGTAACATCATCTAATCAATTCAATGTGAATGCTTCTTCAGTCAATTCAAATTCCAGGTAAGTTATCATTAATTCAATGGCTTTAAATTAGTTCGCTTCTTCAGTTGGTGAAATGATTGACTAAGAGTAGTATTGGTTTACTATTTTATTTTTCATCCCTTTGCCTGTATTTACACCTACTTACTATTTAACTTCATATTAAACAATACTAATGGGAAAATGTATACATTGATTATGAAAAGGCGTTTGACAGTGCAGATAGGAGAACGTTATGGAAACTTCAACACTACGGAGTTCCTGAGAAGATTGTCAACATTATCTGGAACTCGTACGACGGACTAAAGTGCAAGGCCGTGCATGGAGGATAGATGACAGACAAGGCTGTCTACTCTCTTCCTTCCTCTTTGTTCTGGTGGTCGACTGGATTATGAAGACCTCGACATCTAAGGGAAAACACGGAATACAATGAACAGCTCAGAACTAATTAAACGATTTGAACTTTGCGCATGACCTAGCCCTCCTATCCCATACACGAACAAATGCAGATAAAGACAGCCAGTGTAGCAGCAGTCTCTGCATCACTAGGCCTCAACATGCACAAGGGGAAAACCAAGATCCTCAAATACAACACGGACAACAGCAATCCAATCGCTCTTGATGGCGAAACTCTGGACGATGTAAAATCATTCACATACCTGGGAAGCATCGATTAACAAGGAGGTTCAGATGCAGACGCAAAGGCGAGGATTAGCAAAGCAAGGATAGCATTCCTACAATTGAAGAACATATGGAACTCAAAACAACTTTCAACCAATATCAAAGTCAGAATCTTTTATACGAACGTCAAGGCAGTTCTACTGTACGGAGCTGAAACTTGGAGAACTACAACAACCATCATCAAGAAGGTACAAGTATTTATGAATAGCTGTCTACGCAAGATACTCAACATCCATTGGCCGGATACCGTCAGCAGCAGCCTTCTGTGGGAGAGGACACACCAGCTTACAGATGAAGAGGAAATTAGGAAAAGACGATGGAAATGGATAGGACATACATTACGGAAATCACCAAACTGTATCACGAGGCAAGCCCTAACTTGGAATCCTGAAGGGAAACGGAAAAGAAGACCAAAGAACACATAACGTCGGGAAATAGAGCCAGATATGGAAAGGATGAATAACAACTGGAAAGGATTGCCCAGGACAGGGTTGGATGGAGAATGCTGGTGAGCGACCTATGCTCCTTCACAAGGAGTAAGTAACAGGCGTAAGCAAGCAAGTAAGTACCATTATACAAATATATTCATCCTAAAACTATTAATTAATGTATCGGTATACTGAAATGCATAATATAGTCAATAATCACCAGAATATAGCGGTAGGTAACGTGATTTACTTTTTCAGTAGTACATTCATAGTTGTCAAACATTTTTACTCATTTACATCATAATTTTACAAATAAGTGTTTACCGTAAAAGATTTTAAAATCTGATTATCGTGGCTAATGTAAACAGTGAATGGTTTTCACTTTCTGTTTTTCGTTCCCATTTTATGTGTATGTACGCGTAGTTAAGTGGGTACGCGTAAAGTTGAAGTGTGTCAAATAAGTGTAAATAAATTTCATTTTAGTTATTACTTTTTTCATCGTAATTCCCCATTTTCTTTGTCTTAGAGGAATTCTTACATAATGCTTCCGTCGGATGTTGAGAAAATATCCCATCGATATAACATATTGTTAATAACATTCAGTCACAAAGTAGAACGTAGTAAGTATACACAACAGTTCGATTTGCTATACCCCCTTAGCAGAGATAGATAAAATTGTCTGGCCAAATCCCAGAATAGTAGTGATGAGACTTCCAAGATAAGTAAAGCGGTCGATGCGTTCAAGCACTTCACTCACTATCATTAATTCAAACGGTGATGCAAGCCAATGCTGAAGTAGTATATTACATTTGGGGGGCGAGAACCTCAAACATGCTTTCATTGTTGTTTAAGGCAGTCAAAAGACCGTATTTCGTCAGCGCCTTCCTCAAACAGAACCATATCATCCGCGTAACCAGACAGACACTTCCATAGACTCTCGAGATCAAAGGAGTCGAACGCTGCCCTAAGGTCAAGGAATACGACCATAGTCGGATGTCTAAAACTGTATCGATTTTCCAGAACCTGACGAAGGGTGAATATTTGGTTTATACAATCACGTTCAGTTTAAAATGAAGTAAAGGATAGTCGAATGTTGGCGTCAGTGTATAGTGTTTTTGTGTACTGTTGAAATTGTGCTGCGAACTGTAAACTGTCCTCGTAATGTAAGAAATCACTAGTTGAAGTCCATAGTTAGGAAGATGCCAAATCTTGGATATAATCTATACTTGTTTGCTTTTCTCTCCGGAACATTCCAATAATTCTTATCCGTGTGGTTTTGTTATGGGCTAAAACTTGAACTGATCTACGTATATTGACTTTTCTAATTATCCTCTTGCAAACCTGTTTTCACTTCCCTGCCTCTTTGATGTAGTTTTAAAGTTATGAAGCCGTCGGGTTATTCAGGTATCAAACAAGCTGCCTATTCCCTTTTTCTTTAGATCGTGTTGTAATCTTGGATTTTCCTAATTTTAATAGTTTTTCTTAAGCATATTCAATCAGAGCTAGTAAACTTAATCCATACGCTTTGGTACAGTTCTTCAGTTTAACCGGGCTTTCACTGAAATACATATTCATGAGTTTATTTCGTTTGTATGCAATCAGCTTTATTTAATTTCTCTTCTAGTTTAAAATTAATGCAATCCCACATGGCTGTGAAACGTGCTCAGGGTCGACGCCCCGCCACGGATTCTTCCAATTCTCAGTGGAGTACTCGCACAACACTAGCCCCAGTGGTCGATTTAAAACAGCGTGTACCACACGTAGATGGCTCTTACAGGTAATGATATTAGTCCAGCCGTATACGTGTTTTGCATGTTTTGTATGCTCTTTTTTAAAACTTAAAGGATTAACGTTTGTTGAAATACTTTCTGAATGTATCTAAACATATATTATTGAACAAAAGGTTCGTCTTTACAGTCTGCTTGTTTGTTACAGTTTTTGAGAAGAAAGGAATTATTTAGAAATTGATATAAGATTATCCCATCAGGTTTCCTAGTACTATTGTTACAAAAATTCCACCTTAACATACTTGGGCATATGATTTTTGCGTATATCTTAACGACTTGTATTTTTAAGTTTTTTCGTTTATGTTGAAGAATAATGTATTTCCTTTGATACTAACATTAATGCCCTCTTGCTTAAGAATATTTTTGAGTATAGTTACTGTTTTCCTTCTATTTCTCAAGTAAGTTAAGCGCTAATTTTGTAAAGAAATATATTTATCTGTTTGGTTTTGTCAGTTCGAAATTTTTGTTACTATATTTTCGTAATGATACAATTGGTTTCTACCTCGAATTTGTAAAATATAGAGTATCCTACTATGATTGTATACTGGTCAATATATCCGAACAGTTCCGCATAATTGTTGATGAATGCTGTTTATCTGTTTTCTAGACATGTGGAAGCGATTGTTAAATTAAAATTCCGCTATTTTAATTCTGAGATAAAAACTTAAAACGATGTGTCAGAAAATGCAAGCTACTATGAAATTACTGAAAACGTCCAGAAAAATCATATGCAGAATCCATACGTCTTATTCATAGGGAAACCAAAGTCCTATCAAGCATCCTTTAAAATTGTCTAAAACTAAAGATAACAGAAGCGTTTACGTACTTGCTCCAGAAGGTTTAGTTGATATGGCAAACTTGTAAATATTGCATTGAGTACACATAAAAGTCTTTTACTTCTATGAGATACCATAACTTCTGACAGTAAGTCGAGAATCAATAATCTTATCTGAATTTCCATCACTATTATCAAAGGAAAATATTCTGTCCAAATCTTTATACAAAGTTGTTCCTGGAATAAAATTGATTACATTCGTCATCGAGTAATATCATGCATCGTGGTAAAATTCCTCATGAATTAAGCCGAAAAAGTCTATCTGGTCTTTTTGAATTAATAGTTTGTTCTTACTAAGCACGTGTACAAATTTCGTGAGTGTAAATCTATCACACTTCAATCACCTTCGTGTAAGAGTAAATCTCCTTACATCAAATCTGTTAACCAATCACCTAATTGATTTTTGTGAATGTTCTTTTAAATTGTGATATGTTGAATCCATCCTGAGAAAGTTGTAATAGTGCCAGTATCAGTGAAAAATCTTTATTAATTAAACTACTAGTCTCAATACACAGTCATAAAATTTTTCATGTCGTCTAGTTTGGAAAACATTTTTTTGCTTAATCTATCATCAGTTATACATGTGATGTATACATCCTGAAGAATAAAATTTCGACGGTTGTTTATCAGTAATTTTGAATGTCAAGAAACCAATTTATTTGTTTAAAACCTTTAAAACTTACTAATTGGAATTTTGATAATATGATGAAACATTTAACTATAAGTTATTTGTTATAATGTCTTTTTTGAATGTTCTGCATGATGACAATGATATTTAAATATGTCAAATCTTCAGTTTCTCTCAATTTCACTTGGATGTTTCAATTATATCGCATTGTATCTATGCCAGATACATTTTTACCTATATTTTATGATATCGGTACAGTGTCTTATATTTCAGAGTGATATGTGAACTTGATTGGGTTGTAAAAGTATACTAAATTAATAAATGCTGTGTAGTCGAACTTATTTAATTATCTGGAACCCTCTGAGTAAATATAATCTAAAATGACACTATTAAGCTGTATCCGACATCAATGTTCACATAGGCAGTTACAGCAAAGTAGAACATCAGCGTAATAGTGCAACATTGCTCGTTTATGGCTGAACAGTCAAATGGGAAATGCTGAAGTTAGATATAAGTTACTATGTAAAGATGGCAGAACAGTTGGTGACTTTAAATCTTCGTCTACTAAGTGGCTGGGAAATGTTTTGTATATTATCACCCTCTGCTTTTCTCTTTGAGCAATCCTGGATAACCCCGATGTATAATTAAAGAAATATATCGGTGACCAAACCATAATTTGAAAGTAGTCTATGAAGTCACTAACCGTTGGCTTGGTCCCTAATGGCCTACTTACCGAGGAAATGTTTATGGGCTTTAATCAACAACGCCCCCAAATGCCCTGGTACGGCCGAGAGTGGGGAGAGTCCGCTCTACCTCTCGAAACGCTCTCACATGGCCACGCGTATATAGCCTCTGCCAGGGAAGTCCTACTCACTGCCCTCTCGTGGCGGGGATGTTGTTTACGAAAATGAGAGGATGAAAAGCGAATGTCCGGCGCTTTAACCGGATTCCAAACCAATGGTGCACATGAGCTCCAGTATCCTACGGGAACAAATGGCGTATGAACCAATCGTTGGTCACCAGCTACCATGGGACTGCATCTCCTTACGATGCTCCACTGCCTTGTGGATCAGACCTTCAGGTCGAAGGCTCGGGTAGTGGCCCCCTAAGATAACCACCTGCTTCGGTTTGGGCACCCGGGCAGTATTATAGCCCTCACACATATCGAATAAGATTTGTGTGGCGCATATGTATTTGGTGCTTCCTTGTACCAATATCTATGTGTTAAAATAAAAATAATAATAATTTAATCAAAATTTGTATTGACTAGTGAGTCTACATATGTGCCCAAACCTATCTCGATGTTGCAGTGCTTGAAACCCTGGGTTAATGTTGGAAACGGTGTTTTTATCATAATTTCAACAATCCAACATATGTATTTTTATCGATAAACAATAACGTGTTATGGTCACATTAAATCACATGAAACCCATCTACAATAGTCAATTCCCGTGTTGATTTCTCTATGAATCACTATACTATATTATTTTTTATTATTAAACTGATATTTCATTTTAGCCCTATATATAACATGTAAGCAGGTTTGCCGATATTATTATATTACGTTTAAATAATAAATATTTATTAATGTACGTAGTTATTTATGCTCATCGATTATGACTGATTTATATAGATAAGAAAACCCGGTTATTACGTATGACTAAAAGGTGCTTACATTTTTAAAATTAATGATTTTATTTCTTTAATAAGACAAAACAATAACTATGTGAACTACTCATTCAACTTCAAAAACATATCAACTCATATGGTTAAACCTACTTTACATTCTTGGTTCAGAAACTATTCATTATTTATCATAGGGTTGAACTTTATAGATATAAACATATGGTATAAGTTCTTCAAGCAAATCTGTATGAGGTATTCGTCACTGACTGATTCCTATTGTGATGCTATTGGAAACCAAGGAACTCTGAACTGCTGGTTCATCCCATTGTATGAAAATCTATACCCGTCACACTGAGATGAGTATGTTTTACTGATTTAAATAGTCGCTGTAAGACCACTTCATTTTCAAATAAATGTCTCCATTATATTTCATTTTGTTTCACCCTTTGATGTTTAGACGGTAAGTGATGTGTGCTCTGTACATTAAATTGCTTTTGAATTTTAACCGATTCATTGTGACTTATCAGTTGAAAAATATTTTAGGCTCTGGACATTGTCATTAGTATAACTTTGCAATCACCTAAGTTAAGAAGTTTAATTTATTTATTCATAATCAATAATTTTATGTTGGCTTACTGAAGTTGTTACGAAATACCTAGTTAATTTAGTAATATATCTAGCTGATCAATTAATCCGTACTGATCAAAATATGTGTTAAATGCTACTTGTTGAAAATTGTCGAAAATTCGCTGCTTCTGATTGGTGGCTTTGGGCTATAACAGTTTTATTTCATCAAAGGTGAACCTGTTACTATCCAGTGTTCTAGACAATAAAGAATATTTTACACTGAAATTTTGAGACATCTCCTAAACAAATAAAAAAATCCAAAGTAATGGAAAGTGGGATAATGAATTATTTGTTTATTTTTCCATACATAAACAGTTTTCTCTGTAAACCGAAATGAGAAATAATCTAGCAAACATCTTACTATTACTATTACTGACTTCATTTCATATTTTATCCTCATATTGTTTGTTTTCGATCCATTCGTAAACTATTTGTTGTATTTATTTTTGTTTCCACGTAATTGACGTTATCAACTACCTACTATTTAGATTATGTGTTTCAGAAGTATGTTACATTTGCTTGTAATTCAAAAAATCTGTACTGTGTAAATAGGTACTTATAGTGGACGTCTTTGGCAGCCAATGAAGAGGAATTTTAAATATTATTTATGCTATTCATTTTAAGTAATATAGACGGCGATAACAATTAAGTGTTTGATATTTTCGACTTCAAAAATTTCTTCGTAATAATCTCGACGCACTTATTTAACTCCAAGTTAATCCAAAAGCCAAATCGTGAGTAGATTTAATTTAAACCTCGTAGAACACTGATTATGCTGTTAATTATTGTGCGTAACTACTATTTGTATTTTCATTAGTAGCTAATCTGAACAGTTGTATAGTAAAATGGCAGTCAACAAATTAAGGATAACCATATTCGAAATCTGTAACTATGAGTATCTCTGAACATAGAGAATTTGACTTTATGATATTCTCAATATATAAAATTATTCTGCCTAAAAACATCTAGTTGTAACTATAACCTCAGGAAAATAAAACACGTTGATATTTTCACAACTGTTCGATAAATGGTGATGTGAATATACGTAAGGCTACAGAAACATTGCTAAAAGCACTAGTTCTCTATCATTCAGTTTGTTATTGATAGTCTGTTGAATAACAATTGATCGTTCAATACTTCCTCCTCAAAATAAGATATAAATAGTCAAGTTACTTTTAAAGGAAATGAAAATATCCATATTTGATGATTTATCTACCTATTGAAAGACTAACAGTCTAAAATTATTGTCAACGTATTTCTCAGGCTTCTCTGGGTTGGATGAAATATTTTTGCACTATTTTCTTATCTTGTACATCTACCTGCTTTTCTGGTTACCTACCACCTTCCTTTCAAAATTGATTATTACTGTTTAAAGTTACCCAGCTGTTGCTTATTTAATTCTGCGATCTTGCGAACGGAAGTAATACTAATGTTTTCTGTTTCTTCATTAAATCAGAATATCACTGTTTTATCGTAACTTGGTAAAATTCTGTCATTTAGGGACTGTGATTACTTTTTTACTTAAAGTCGATACCATTATTTAATTTTGTGTGAAATATGATACGCTTGTTTATGTGCTTATTTCCGTTATTTTCAATGAAAGAAACTTAGACATTATCAACGTCAAGTATATTAAACTGCTAAGTAACTAACATTAATAATAGATATTTTTTATTTGGTTGTCTAATCGAATGTCACCTAGAGCTCTTTCTATGTATATGTACATATACATAAGATTCTTATTAAGACGCTTTCTGGTAGGAAATATATTTTATCCACTTATATATCCATGTTTCTCTTCTCGTTTTAATACTTTCAGTTATTCTCTTCATTTTCCCTTCAACGTTGTTTCCTTTTGAAATGCTTTGATATTGTTAGATGGGTATCATGAGTGTTATTTTTTAATCATTCCATTTATTATGTTGATTTAATTAATTACATATCATTAGTCTTACTCTAAAGTATCAGGTTTTCATAGTTTTTCTTCAGTTTAATAATCTTATTAAAACAGTATGTAGATAGATTAATAATTATCAGTGTTTCTTTTGCATGTACCAACTGTAATACTAAAAATCCTCTTCATATTATTTTTTGTGCGGATTTCAAATAATTGTTAAATTCTTCAGAAAAAATTTTTTTTCTGACAACACTAATATTCCACTCACAGAGACCATCAGTTTTATCTGCAGTTACATAAATAATAATAAGATTACCATCGGAATACCGGAAGTTTATTTGAAGGAACCTTTGTTTATTCTACCTCACTTTCATCATGTTTAACAGAAGTTCATTATCAGTATTATTGTAATTATTATCATCCCGAAAAATAAGTATATTTATTTGCGATTGTACAGCTTTGAAAATGAATTCGCCGAAAAGAAAACTCTTCGTTGAACTAATCTTTCTTATTTAACAACGTTTATAGTTTAAACCTTTTTTCTGACGCCTTTATCGTATCTCTTCATGATTATTTGACAATTCATCCATTCGTTTAATGTCCTTACAACTGTATAAAACTAAATTAAGAATGTGTCCTATATTCATAAGTGTGTTATTAGTATATATATATACTAGTAGTAATAAACGTTAGGATGCCATGATAACTTATAGTAAACATGAATATGGTAATTAATGTGCACTGAGAGACCTAAAACTTCACGTTTTTCTAGTTGATTGGAGTCTGTAAAATATCTGTTGTGTAGTTCAGCTTTTTTATTTTGATAACCTTATGAAAGGAAAATATGTACATACATATACATAACTTTTTAACTAACCTGTTCAATTATTCACATGTTTCTAGTTAATTCATTAACATAGAAACCTTTTTCATGTGTTCTTTTTTCCAAAACACCTCTAATAACATGTAACTAATTAGCTTCCACTGTTATTTTTTGAAAGAATATTAAAGTGCCTGTATTTTTTCGAGTGAATCACTATGTAATTGTTATGACTCTCCAATTAATGTAAATAAGTTAATTAAATCCGAAATTTACTATCTACGTAAATAAGTAGGAATTCAATTTTACATCGAAAATTGCCTCCCTAAATGATTATATATATATTGCAATTTTTTGGATACTAACCAACTTAACGATTTGTGTGAAAAACTGAGTAAATAAAATACTGTAAGCAGAAACTACAAAACACTTTTTTGCTACTGTTGTGATTATGTAAACAAACTTCGCCGTGGTACTCTTCTTCATATTCAACAAATAATAATGCAAATTAGATTTACAAGTTCTCATAAGTGATTGGTAAATCATGCATTTCAAAAGACAAGTTATATCAGAAGAAAAGAGCATTAGCTGATACTAATCTGTTCAGGGAGCATCAGTACAAAAACGGTATGTATTACTCAAACCCATATTTTGTGACGTCACTGTAGTAAACAATTAAGGGAAGTAAATATCGTTATAATGTTTTTGTTTGCTATCAATCTTTTCTAACTTTACAAAGATGGTTGTTTTTGCTATGAATTAACAATAGTTTTATGATTGCTCGTGATAGTCATCCTTACTAATATCCCTTTTCATGTCTCCTTATCTATAGTTAATATTGTATATTCACTTTAATCAAATGTTGATGACCATTTAGATTTAATCAATTGACTGGACGATTAGAACGATGTGTTTCGGGAAGCAGTGGAGGTAAATCTAAACGTTCGTTGAAATATTCCAATACAGCTATGACGAATGGTTTACTATTTGGTGAACCAAATCTACCTTTGGGTGTGATGGATGAATATAATCCCATGATTCCTAATGAATATGAAGAATTAGCTCGAATTAAACGTGAACGTAGACGTGCTGAGGTAATTAATTATCCCAGGTCTAATTGTAAATATTATCCAAATTTCGAAGGATTTAGTTCTTTTTATCATAATCTATTTTAAGACAGAGAAATTCCCCTTATCATATTGAAGAAGACCTCAAGACAATTTGACAAAGGATTTTTTCGCAATTTTTTGATGATATTGCTTATTAAACCTGCATAATAGTATTTCTAATGATTTTAAGAGAATAATAGTCTGTTGAAAAATATAAAAAGGTTATACTATAAATTGTTTGAATAGCTTCACCGAAACTTTATATAATGCTCTAAGGGTAAGAGAAAAATACTAAGATAGAAAAAAAACACATTTTATTTGGTAAATCAGTTATACTAGGATTACACAGTTCCAGTAAATGGTAATGTCGCAAAGAAACTTTCCATCTTTACATTGCTTTTGTGTAAATATTGATCAATTCCCTATTCGAATATATTTCTTAAATATTCCATCTTTACAAATAATAGGCTGTTCATATTAGTTTAGTATAACAAATATAGTGAATTTTTTGAAAGACAGCAGGAAGAAAATACCACGTCATAAGTATATGATTCAATCTCTACGGTCGCATCATAAAAATCATGTTTGGCAAAATGTTGAATATTAAAATTACATTTTTCCTGAGGAGAAATATATATGTGATGATTCCCCTTTTAACTTGTGAACTATTACGAAACTTTTTGACTTTGAAATTTAAAACTTCAAACTCTTTATCAGTTTGTAGATTATCTTCAGTATACTTATGTGATCTATAAAATTAAGTCGACTAATTATTATGACTTCTATGCAAATGATCAGGTGACATTCTATTGGTATTTTTATTCCTTTTTTCACCTAAAAGAATAATGAATTTACAAACATCATTAAAATGAACTATTTCTTCATTAATTTTTCATAATTCTTTTATAAATAGCTAAACAGTAGCAATGCAAAACAATAAAGAACTTTCTGTTTATTAGATTCATTAGTGGGAGAATGATTGCATGTATAAATAGCCATCAAACTTCATAATGACTGGATTGTTTGGGTATGTATTTGGAATTGTGGCACAATATCTATACTTTTACAGGATATTCGAATCGCGATTACTGTCTGACATTATTATGATCTCTGTAACAAATGTCCTTTCAAAACAATTTATGAATCGTATCTTTTCAATTAACCTAACCTTATATATTTCGTCCTTTACGTATGACATTACTTTCCATATCATTCTGACCTTGCATTTAAATATGCATGTGCGCTGTAATTATTTCCAGAATGATTATATATATAATGCATAGTTTTAAGATTTTTTAAATAAAACTATACATCCAATGTTTGATACTTCACTTTAACTATTTTTTCATGTATCTGCCTTTTTTAGGAATCAGCGCTTGCAGACAGACACCATCGACTGGATCCATTTGGCATGAATGATCCTTCCGGAATGTGTCGTCGTTATGAGTATTCAGATGAAGAAGATGACGAAGATACAGAATATACTGCAGCTTCCGGTAGGAGTTCTTCACAACCAACAAAGGGTGCTGCTATTGCACCTCCATCTGTTTTACTCGAAGATGTAACTGTTACTCCTGGTTCAAATGCATCACAAAACTCTGAATCGTCGGTTAATGATGATGACCCTGGAGTTAGCACAGCTAGTAGTAAATTTGGAATGTATGTTTTCGTTAACTTATCCTGTTCATATCTTGTGCAATTTATTATACTTGATTTTACTCACCTTTTACTGCGATACTTTAATGTTTGTATACCATGCGTTTATTTTACTGCGTAAAACTTCTATATTGGACTATATTACCATTTCTTGCTGTAAAGCAAAAACAACAAACACTGTAAGATCAGTCGAATTTATTTCATGTGCTTTAAATCTTCCACATAGCTACTGATTTGCATAAATTAATAAAATGTTTTATAAATGTGATTTTGTGTGTAATATGCAAGAATTCATTTAGTTCACCACTGAAGTATAATTAAAATCACTTTGAGATTGTGGTGAAGATTTGTTGCTTAGATGGATGATTTTAGTGGAGTTTTGTTCACTGTGCTCGATGTTAGGAGCTTTCATTGTTTTACTGCGCAACATCAGCACTAACCAATCAAGATTGAGGTCGACAAAACAAGCTGTTAGTCATCAGTGAATAAATCCGAATACTTCACTTCTATCTGAAGTTTGTGCTGATGATGTTGTTCAGAAGAACAATGAAAGCTCCACGACCAAATCATCTACTCAGTGAACTAAACTCCACTAAAATCACTCTCCATATTCATAAGCGTTCAACTTTAAAATGAGCAGAAGAATTTAGCGAAAGACTGTAACGTAATCAACCGCAAGACTCATACAAATTGTTTTAGTTGTAACAAGTAGAATGATATACGTAATAGTAATTGCCAAAAAGCAATAGTAAACTGATCATAATATTAGTGGTAATAATTATCGTTTTCGCTTGCTAAAGCGTTTATTAGGAAACGCAAGTACTTTGATGGAAGATTTAAAACATACTAAATGAGATGAATTTACTTCATTCCAAAATGTTTGTTGTTCTTACTCTATGAGTCTATGAAGGGAACTATCTGTTTTACGTTTCCAATTGATTGGTTCTCGTATACATTCTCTGGGAAAACTTATTTAATTCAGTCAACGATTCTTGGCATTTATATATTATCTGTTTAATAACACTATTGACCATTTCGAATTAATAACAAGCGAGTGTTTGCTATTTATCGACTTAATTGACTAAAGAAAAGGAAAAAATATCTAATCAACTTGGTTTCTATTTCTTTAAAACTAATGATTATGTGGATCAAATATTCTTAACAGAAAACTACCAGAATGTCTACTTCTAATTTCATTTAAATAATTATCAAATTTATTTTTACTATAATTACTTCTATTACATTTACTACCACAAATAGGTTGTCAGTTATATGTAATAATATCGGTCCAATATCAATTGGTCATTCCTAACTATTTATAAGCAATGGAAGTTGTATTCTGTGTACTTTTGTGGAGAGTAGCTTTTGTTATGTAATAAATTATTCAAGTATTATTTTGATTACATCTGTTTTATTGCTGCGATAAGAATTGCGAATAATTTCATGTAGAATAATGATTTTTACTCTAATGTAAAATTTCTTTATTTCATCTAATTGGATTTGTACTGGGATTTTTGGTTGACTGAATAGAACATAATGTTGCATGTCATTTATATCTGATAGATTTTTGTGAAGATTACATAATCTCTGATTACATTTAGCAAATATTATGATAATCTTAATCTTCGAAATACTTTGAAAGTTTGATTTGGAGTCACAACAATGTATATATATATATATATATATATATATATATATATATATATATATATACTGTGTTTAGAAATGTGTTCAAATAAATCATTATGTTTAAAATAGTATCTTAAATGAAATACTTTCGTAACTAAGTTTTATTTGGTACATTAATCATAAAGTATGTATGTTTGTGAATATTTAAATGTAACTTAGTAAGATCATAAATCACCGATAGATAGATCGCAAGAAAAATTTAAATCAAACCGATCAGCTCCTTTTATTTATTGGATTTTATGAACATTTCTTATTAACATTTTTGAACTTCTTTTGAACCTCTTAATCTTATTCAAACAATGTTGTAATTTGGAGTAACATATTTTAGCCTTTAGTTTTATTTACCAGCTTAAAGTAATAACATGTATCAATAGGTGTTGTTCACCAATAAAAGTTTGAATCTTAGTTTCTTAAATATCCTCTGGCGGTGAAGCATTTATCTAGTAGATGAACTGATAATTCGCTCTTATTATTAGTTTTGAAATCTTGAACAAAAAAATTTGAAAAATAAAACCACCAGCTAATTTACTGTGTATTTGTATACATACTAGTAAATTAAGCTGTTATTTGGAATTTAAAACTGTTTATATACTAAATCATACTTAGTTACAACAGATAAAAGACTGTATAAATTACGGGTTATGTCCGGTCGATCATCTTAATGATTATTACTTACGAATTCGAATCACCGGCTAAAGCTCAAAATGGGCTAATACCTGGAGAACTGAATGATTGGTCACGGAAATATAAGTTTTTTTGCAGAATAAAATTTTATATAAAATAACTATGATTCATTGAAGATGCTAACGATTGTTAGATATCGGTCTTGTCAGTCCAACGAACGACATTTTTCTCAGGCTTACTTGTTTTCATCCATGTCATGTTTCCATTACGACCATTTTTACTTTAATATAGTTTTATCTGATTCCTTAAAAATTACTGTGTTTACATATCAAATAACTCCGCCTTTAGCTCTTCTAAGGTTGCTGCCGGTCACAAATATCGGTAAAGGAGGGGGGTTGGGCATGAGGTCTGCAAACACATCCCGTAGAAAACAGCCGTGCTAAAAAAGAACGCTTACCAGAATAAAAAGTTTAAACCGTTTAAACTCTGCCCCGAAAGAAATATGAGGCCTCATGATGAAAGCCAAGATGCTGTCCAAAGAAGCAGTAATGGCACTCATGGATCCAGGATCATCAAAGCATCCTTCAAAACAAAGAAGCAGGTAATCACAACAAATGTTATCCAATGTTATGCAGCCACCAGTGATAGCAATGACGACGATAAAGATCAGTTCTACTCGAGACTTCAATCGATCATAGAGAAGTATTCAGGAAAAGATCTCATCATCTCAATGGGAGATCTAAACGTCAAAGTCAGAATGGACAACACTGGTTATGAGGATATCATGGGACGACATGGACTGGGAGAGAAACGAAAATGGCGAGAGATTTGCAAATTTATGTGCATTCAACAAATTTGTTACAGGCGGCACAATATTCCGCCACAAACGCATACACAAAGCTACATGGGTCTCATCGGACCACAACACGGAGAATCAAATAGATCATATTTGATACACATAGTTCTCTTTATCATTTTGAAAAGAGCAAGAACAAAGATTCTAGCAGAATAACATAAATTCATTTTATTTCGTAGGCTCTCGTCAGCTGCTTACAACCTGTGGTATTTAAAAAGATAATAATTACATGATGGGTTTAAATTGCGTACATGATAGGATTTATATTGAAGAAATATTCGTAAAGTATGACATGGGTGTAAATGAAATTAATAGGCTGAATATTGTAAATATATACATGATGTGAAAGAATATTTTAGAGCATTAATCGTGACAGCAGTTCAAAAGGGTTAGAAACAATTTATTACATAATGAATAAACAATTGATAGGAATATAGTGAGTAGAGTTCAGTTGAAAGATTATTAATTTTTTTCTAAAGATAGTTGAAAAAATAAAATCAACGACGTAATAAATATAAAAAATAAAAATTTTAAGCTGCAGCGGAAGAATATTTGTCACCAAGGCAGGGAAAGATTAACAATCATCTCCTTTTGAACACATAAATCAGGTTTTTGGCGCCTGATAGCAACCGCTTCAGCAAACTTCAGAAGACTGGAGTTTGGCTGCTTACTAATCACCTTGAATGATTGTAGGGTGTCAACCTGATGGCCTGTGTCAAGGAGACGTTTAGTGATTGCACTACTTAGACTCTTTCTTTCTCTTATTCTGAGGCTTTTTGGAACATGTTCAAAAAATCTGAGATATGCCCTCCTTTCTGTTCGGCCAATGTAGCTGCTTTGGCAGGTACATGTAAATTTATAAATACAATTGGCGGTAACATGAAAAGGATGCTTATCAACCTTTGATTGAGTGATTGAACATGTTTTATAAAGAATTTGAATTTTGGCCGCCGGATAGGTTCTAGTTAGTGCAGTATTAAGTCTCCTGTTGATTGTGTTAACAACATCATCACCTTTGAAGTTAAGACTTATAGTTATTGGTTTTTTATTGACAGTAATTACTTCAGTATTATTTTCTTTACGCTTTTTATATTTGTCAATAAACTTTTGTGGGTAATAGTTGTCTCGTAGGCATTTTTGCACGTTCATCAATTCTTCTTCCAGCCTATCAGTGGTACATATCTTTTCTGCCCTATAAAATAGTGTATTAACTAGTGCCTTCTTGTAGCTGAGTGGACAAAAACTATTGAAATTCAGGTAAAGGCCATTGCAAGTACTTTTCGATAAACCGAACGTTGGACTGTCCCGTCTCCTATGTTTTATAGCAACATCAAGAAAGTGGAACATGTCATTCTGTTCGTGTTCCATAGTATATTGTATGTTAGGATGTGAATTATTGAAGAGTTCTAGCAGGCGGATTGCATCAACATATCTAGAATATTCCGTCGTTTCGCTCATCGCCTGATTATGCACCATGTTTTCAAGATACTCTATAAAGATATCTGCCAGACTTGGACCTAGTGCATCAGCAAAGAATTCCGAAGCACAATGGAAGATGTGAGAACTAGAAGAAGAGCTGACATAGCTTCAGATCGCCACATGGTTGTGGCGAAGATGAAACTGAGGCTAGAAAAACACTGGACAACTGGTGGGAACAGCATCACAAAGGTTCAATACATCCTTTCTTCCACATACTGACAAACTCAATGAATTCGAGATAACGCTCCACAATAGGTCCCAAGCCTAACGAGATCTATTGAAAGAAACAGAAATTACTAGGGAAAACAACTAGAAAGAGATCAAGTTAGTCAGTGTAGAGGAAGTCTCTGCATCAGTAGGCCTCAACATACACAAGGAAAAAAGCAAGATCCTAAAACACAACTCAGAGAACACTAACTCAATCACACGCGATTGAGAAACTCTGGGAGGGGTGGAATGTTTCACGTATCTAGGTAGTATCATGGATGAACGTTGAAGATCTGATTCATACAAAAAGGCGTGGTTTGGCAAACCAAGGGCAGCATTGCTACAGTTGAAGAACGTATGAAACTCAAAACGAATGTCAATCGATATCAATCAGAATCTTCAATGGGAACGTCAAGACAGTTCTACTGTACGGAGCTGAAACTTGGAGAACTACCACAACCACCATCAAAAAGGTACAAGTATTTATAAATAATTGTTTACATAAGATACTAAGTGTCCGTTGGCCGGATACCATCAGCAACAATCTACTGTGAGAGAACAAACCAACTTCCAGCTGAAGAGGAAATTAGGAAAAGGCGTTGAATGTGGATAGGAAATGCATTGCGGAAATCACCAAACTGCATCACGAGGCGAGCGTTATCTGGGAATCCGGAAGGGAAACGAAAAAAGCGGAAGGCCAAAGACCTCACTGCATCGAGAATTTGATGCAGACATGAAAAGGATGATTAGCAACTGGGAACAATTGGAAAGGATTGTCCGGGACGGTGAATGCTGGTGGGCCGCCTATGCTCCTCCATGAGAAGTAACAGGCGTAAGTAAGTAAATAGAAAATGCTTATTCGACTATTTTATTTTAATAAGATTCTCTCACATCGTACCCAATAGTTAGTGACTTTGAAGGACATGGCTCAAAATCGTTTGCAATGGCTCCTGTGCATCTGTTCTTCGTTTTCCCTCAAATTACGAGTTTCTCAAAATCTTTTTGTTTTCACCTCTCTAATTTATATTTTCTTTTCGAACCATATCTTCGATGCCTAATCTTTCCTATTCCCATTGATACTGTTACTACCTATACTATTCTGGTATTTAGCCCTGGTAATTTCATTTCGATGCACTAATGGGAAATGACAACTTGAGCCGATGTACGTCCGTCTTGGTTCTCTGTTTTTACTGACTGGACAGTTGATTGGACTTCAATCGAGATCTACTGTTGATATTTGACGTCTTATAACAAAGTATATAGTTATTTGGATTGTTTAAACATTTAGCGAATTATCATTTACTACCATATTAAATAATCACACAGTACTATTATGTTGTAATATTTGATTTAGATATCAAGTATGACTAATAAATGTGATGAAAATGCAGCTAACTGGCACTTAATGATCACTAAATTTACGTTGTTGTTTAATTTTCATTATTTCTAATCAGTATGTAATATCTCATTGTTTGTGTTCTACATCCTTAAATGACAACTATTGACGTGTTTATTTATTCTCACTGAACTTTTTATTTTCAATAGTAATGTTGTTGCAGCGAAAATGATGGCTCGAATGGGATATCGAGAAGGACAAGGTCTAGGTAGAGAAAGTCAAGGAATGTCCACTGCATTAGTTGTTGAAAAAACTAGTCGACGTGGTGGCAAGATAATTCATGAAAAAGATCAACAACGTCAACAAATCCAAGTCAATGCTTCTGCTGTTAATAATAATAATCTACCTAGTTATTTAAGTGCAAATGTAGAAGAGACATTCAATAATCTACCACTTCCAGAGAATCGAAGCTGCGTAAGTCATAGACATTCTCGTATCGAATGAATGTATCATTTAGTGAATAATTATAAATAATCCTCTAGGAAAATAAATTTCACAGCCTATTTTTCCCTGTTTAAGTGATAGTTACTTTCGAAATAGTAAATGTATCTACTGCTATTGAGTGAAACTCTAGCTCCACAAGTAGCTCTGTCGATTTATTTTTAAAACTTCGTATAACAGTTTTAAACATAGTTCTCTTACTTACTAAGATTTTAAGTCTGAGGCGTGTTGCTTTTGCTTTCATGTTACACATTTAAAATATTATAAACCACCTTGTTATTGAAAGTGAAATTTTTTCTAAACAAAATATTTCAAGAATATGTAATATCAAGTGTCAGGGTCGATAATAGTATAAAGTAGTTTCAACACTAATTGATTTCCTATCCTTTGGTGTTATTATCTTCATTTTTTCATTTTTCCCAATACAATCTACTCATGTAAAATTAACCAAATACTGCACCGACTACCTGCCTTCAAATTAGTTGCTTTTTGTAGATCGACAAAGTATTTGTCCACATACTGAATTTTTCATGTTTTAATTTTGATATACATACTCAATATAAATATTTTGTAAGGTTTTAGTAAAATTACAGTGGTAAAAGAAAACCTCCATGTTGTATAAATAAAACAATGTGTAACAAGGCTTTTTTTCACTTTCATTTTAACAACTGTTAGAATGAAAATATTTTCTAGTCTAATTTAGGTTTTTATTTTCAATGTCCAGCAAAGATAAAGAGGAATTATACTTTAGTTAACACATTCTGGTCACTGTTTCTAGTGTTACATTTTAATTATTTATTTTATGTAAAACAGTTGGATAGTTGAATAATAAAGTCATACATTTTTACATCTTTTACCTCTTATATTTGAGTAGTTCAAGTATAGTTTTTCTTTAACATAAATGGTCCCTACTCCTCATACGTAGAATTTACGGCTTTAAAATTATCTGTGTTTCTGGTTTTTAGGTTATTCTTCTGCGTAATATGTGTGGACCAGGTGAAGTTGATGATGATCTAGAACCCGAAACAGCTGAAGAATGTGCTAAATATGGCAAAGTAGTAATGTGTATGATTTATGAATTGCCTGAAGCTCCAGATGATGAAGTAGTTCGTATTTTTGTGGAATTCGAATCTGAAGAAGCAGCAACGAAAGGTAAGTGTTAATGTGCATATATATTTTCATGCAGAGTTGATTTCTCAATATTCTGAAAAAGTGGTAGTTCCAGTCGTGTATCATTTTCCTGTCGTTTGTATTCATTCATATTCACGTAATAATTTCTTAATTTTCGTACTATTTAACCAAGTATTTTTAAGAGAAAAAGATCTCAGAACTCATTAATTTCTGTAAAGTTCCAGCATGTTACGAATGTCTTTCTCTTTTATGTGAATAACTAGTTGCCATTTGAAGTCATTTTAAACAGCGAGTCCGCTTTTTGTCGGTGTCAAAATATTTTCGTGAGACATATCATTTAACCCATACAATCGCTGATAAAATGTATAGAGGTACTAGTTTGTTGGAACATCGCTGTGATTTTGAATGATCTTAGTGATTAGTTTATAATCTCAATTAAAATCTCCGGCTGTTATGGCATAAGCGAAAGTCTTATTATACAATGCAGTTTATGCACGAACTTCTTTGCCTCAATTAAATGTTTATAAATGATAGATTATCACTGAGTTTGTAGAGATCGTTGAGTTCCGAATTCAACATCACAGATTGGTTTCAGTTACAGTACTGTTGGGAAGAAACAAAAAAGTACTGAACACCTGTTTCGTACTTTTCTGTGATGGGCTTAGTTCCTGGATCTCTAGTGACAGCTGTGATCACAGGAGTTCAGCCGTGATGAGCTGACACAAATTTCACCAACAGCAGCGGATCGGGTGCGCGGAACATCACTAATTGACTTAAGTTGGAAGTGCAAATCGCTAGATACTAACTTAACGGCTTAAATCTTGGGCTTTCTCTGAAAGTCATGGATCCAGTACTTAGTAATGTTGAAAGCACACTACTGACTGGTCCAAAACTCGGACAAAATAGCTGTCCAGGTTATCCTTGTTTGCAGTAGTTCTATAACTGAAATCAGCCCGTGAATAACTACCTATTTATAAAAGGATTTTTAACTCAACTGATTTAAGACAACAGCAAGCTACACTTTTGAAAATAAACACGGCTTCTGATGTGATTCAGAATTTTCAACTCAAGGGCAGGCCCACAGATCCAGTCCTAAAACACACTTGTGTGAACTAATGAGGAAAATACATTTGAACCAAAAAACTACTAGCTTAAAAGTGGATTATTCGACAACTACGCAACCACTCCTACTTATGCAGCGTTGTCTAGCAGAAAGTTTTGTGGTTCTAATTTTTTACCATTGTCACTTTTCATATAATTCCCGCTTTTTCAATATTCATCTCTGGTTTATTTTTTTATAGCGGTACTCGATCTAAATGGCCGATTTTTCGCTGGACGTGTCGTGAAGGCTGGATTTTACGATGCAGAAAAATTCAGGAATTTGGAACTCGCCGATGCGCCATTGTCTACATAACTTTCCGTTTCATTATGCACAGTATATATAATTATTGTCTAGTTATACATGTACACGTGTTCTAATCGACTTCACAAAACACAGTATACAACTCCCGGAATGGAGAACTGATTAAATGCGGGTTTCTTAATACAGTACATTGGGTAATAACATATTCCTCCTAATTCTAAGTAGAAATAACAAGAGCACTTTCATATAGGGCTCAAAAGTCAGTCACATACCTACCTTGAGCAAAACTCAAGATCTTGACAAACTGTTGGTAAAAGTTATGTTCAAATTGTAATAAACTACATTCTGACAAAGCTTTTGGTCATGAAATTTATTATTTGCATATTGTTCTTGTTACCAGTCTAGGAAAGATAATTTGCTGAGGATATAAATTGTAGCTGAGAATTGATTCAAAGTCTTTTATTTAGTTCTGCATAATTTTCTCATTAATCTTAGTATGTATTCTTATTCAAGCTGTTTATGTATTTAGGTGATTTACTTCAATATCCTTAGTGCATTCGAAAACTTATTTACGAAATATTATGCTCAACGGGAATCGGTTTGTGATATTTTCTGACAAGCACTCAAGATTTGGTCCGCGAATTGCTAAAACTTACGTTATTTACTTATTGGAACACATAAATATTGGTACAAGAGGGCACCAAATATATATGCGCCACACAAAACAATAAGAATGGGAAGAGAAAAAAACAACAATAACGACCAGATTAGTGTAAGGTAGTGTAATAATAATAATAATGAGGGAAACAGGAAGGTATAACTAGAAAAAATCTTTCAGTTAAGGAAGATACAACCACTTTTTATGAAGAAAGTAAAAGGTTACAGCAGGGTCGCCACTGGCTTCTATTCTGAAACATATCTGATAAAGTCTCTAGCCACTGTGTCGCACCATCTCTCGGACCCCAGCCACTGAGTCATGAAGGACCAACATAAGCCAGTCCTTCGCAGCTTTCTTTCATGCCACGACACTATGTCATACACTGACCACCTCGCCGCTTTTTCCAACAAGTCCCAGAGTCGGCAAATAATGCACGACGTGGAATTCTCTGGGACGACATTCGTAGAACATGTCCAAGCCACCGAAGTCGGTGTTTCAAGATGGCGACACCAATTGGATTATCGTCTCTGTGCCCGAACACACGATACCGAACCTCTGCATTATTGACATGGTGTCGCTATAGTGAACAAAACACGGGTGGGTACAATCGGATGCATTTAACACAAAATTACAGGACCTGTTACTAAAATCTAACAATCATAAAGTAAATGCTTAATTGGCAAAATGCACACCAATTGTTTCAAGATGACTCAGGCCTCATTGTCCTTGCATTTTCATACAAATTGCATCCTGTTTCCATTCTTTACTGTTCAATCCTCTTGTCTCTCTGCTGTCAGACCTGTTCACGACCAACATCATATACTACTTATGTCTATACAAGTAGCACACACCACATTGGCACTTTATGTCCGCAATTTTTCGGAGACAACGATGATCAAACACAGAGAGTCGTCTGACATCCTCAACTCGGAAGCCAGGTTTCACAAGCATAGAACAAAACTGCTCTCATCGACGCGCTGTAGATCCGACGTTTTACAGCCAGACTGACATCACGAATGCGCCAAAGATGGTCCAGATTGGCATAAGCCGCTCTGGCTTTCACTATACCTGCATCGACCTCATCACTCACGCCACCACCAGCACTTATGCAGCTACCTAGATACACGAACTTCCCGACTAAATCTATCTGCTCACCATCCAGAGTGCGTACAGGACTAGAATCCTGCCAGTCTTGTAGAAGTACTTTGCACGTCGAAGGTGCAAAGCACATACCATACCTACGGACACTGATTGTCAACTGATTAAGTGCGGATTGCATGCCTTGGGCATTATCGCACAGTAAGACAATATCGTCCGCATACTCAAGGTCGAGAAGTCTTTCTCCAGGCAACAGATCCACGCCGCCATTACTTACATCCATCAGAGCTGTTTCTAGAATGTCATCGATGGCAAAGTTGAAGAGGAATGGTGAGATTGGGCAAACGTGCCTAACCCCACCGCTCGAATGGAAGAATGAAGAGAGGTGGTTGTTGCCCTCGCTCTGCCTGAGGTGTTTTTATATAGGGCTTTTAAGGATGTTAATAAACTTCTCAGACACACCTTTCTTCAATAGACAATCCCAGAGGACAGTCCTGTTCAACGAATCGAAGGCAGCCCTGATGTCAAGAAACACTACGAGTGTTGGCCTTTGAAAAGTATGACGGTGTTCTAACATTTGGCGGAGGGTGAAGATATGATCAATACATCCTCGACCAGAACGAAACCCAGCCTGCTCCTCGCGAGTCAATCTTTCTCGGGTTTTGAACAACCTACGAAGTATGATGGAAGCCAATAGCTTGGACGCAATCGGAAGTAGACTTATCCCCCGATAGTTGTTACAGAAACGACGTGAACCTTTTTTAAAGATAGGGACAACTATCGACTCATTCCATGACGTTGGTACATTCTCTAACACCCAAACCTTTGTAAACAACGTCGTCAGTCAGAATGTCATCACCATCTTTGAAAAGGGTCGGAGGTAAGCCATCTGGGCCCGGTGGTTCGTAGCGCTCCAAGAGTTGGAGTTCCTTGCGGACTTCCGCCTCATTTGGTGGATCATTCGTCACCGGCCATAGAGAGCAGGACAGTCTGACCAATGTTGCCGGAGCAGCAGGCCAGTTGAACTGCCCTTCGAAAAATTCTGCCCATCGTCCAAGACGTCGATGGATGTTAGTGGTTGGCATCCCATCATCCTCGTAGATCGTTTCGCACACACCAGACTTCTTGCTGCCAGTGGCTCGGATGAGTTGAAATAGCTTTTGGTAGTTGCTAGACACAGCTGCTGCCTCACGCTCATTAGCACGCTCCGACTACCAGGCTTCTCGATCCTTACGCAAGCTTTGCCCAACTTCATTACGCAACATCCTTCGTTTATGGTCAAACTCACGGTCACCCGGAGTAGACCGACGGGCTTCAATGAGTTGTGAGGAACCAGAAGAAACTCAGTGCTTATAAGCAAGACGTTTCGCGAACCCACAACTGACTGTACCCGCCATTTTCATGGCGTCATGCAATTGCAACCAATGCTCATCTATACTTTTCGGTGAAATGGTAGCTTGCCTAAAAACTAGCTCGGTTCGATACTTACTTGCAACCAACTTGCTGACATCAATCCTTTGGTGGCGGTCACTTCGTTGTCCACTGAAACGTAAGGTAAGGTTGGCGCAGACCAGGGCATGACCAGTGTCCAGATAGGTACTCCAAAATGAGCGGTGGCTGATCGCGATGTGATCAATCTGAGTCCAGGCTTGAGACGAAGAGGGAGGACGCCAGGTGGCACATCGGCGATGACTGTGCCGAAAGTTAGTGCTATCCAGGAACAGGTTGTGGTCTGTGCACAATTGCAGTAGACGGTCCCCGTTATCTGTCCTGAGACCAACAAGTCCCCATCGGCCATCTAAGCGACTCTCTTCTGTGCCCAGACGCCCGACCTGAGCATTCAAGTCTCCGGCTAGTACTACAATATCTGTCGGGTTCACTTTCTGAAGGAGAACAGTTAACTGGTGGCAGAATTCATCCTTGATTGCATTCGGGCTGCAATCTGTCAGGGCATAGGCGGAGATGACGAAAAGACATCGTTTTTCACGCCGATTTCTTCTCACTTTGATGGGACTTTCTAATTTAACAGCACATAACCTACTGTTAATGGGGATACAGTCGATTAGTGTTGCCTCAGCTCTAGCGCTTAGTGCGACACCAAGGCGAGCAAGACCAGACGAAGATGCCACAGTGTCCCCGGATAAGCGCACGTAAAACAAGCTTTTTGAAGCGACAGATGGAGAGCGAATTTGTAGTACTTCACCAGAGTCTTAAATACGGCTCTCGGATAGACAACAAAAGTCGACATTAAGTCTTTCCAAAGATATAGCCAGCCCTGTTGTCCGACCTGCATAAGTGTGCGAACGTTGAAGGCAGCCGCTTTGAATGGTGCACGTGGTTTCAGAAAAACTGCTTCAGTATTCGCACTTAGTGGTAGCATACAATTTTCAGTGACTCGAGAACGTTTATATAGAACCGAGTTTTCACCATAAACGAGCTGCTGTATGAGTCGAAAAATAAGGATACGTAAAGTGGGAATAAAAGTCAGTAAATTACGTAGTAAATAATAATAATCATAATGTGAATTGTTTGATTGTAAATCGAAGCGATAATAGAATTCTCAGTAAATATCGTCATTTTCACTTTACTTGTGTGTGGGCTGTGATACTGCCCGGTTGCCCAGACCGAAGCAGGTTGTTATTTTAGGGGGCCACACTGCGAGCTTTTGTCCTAAAGGTCTGACCCACAACGCAGTGGAGCATCGTGAAGAGATGCAGTCTCAAGGTAGCCGGTGACCAACGATTGGTTCATACGCCATTTGTCTACTCAGGATACTGGAGCCCATGTGCACCATTAGTTTGGGACCCGATTAAAGCACCGGACATCCGCTTCTCGTTCTCTCATTTTCGTAGACAACATCCCCGCCACGAGAAGGCAGTGAATAGGACTTCCCTGGCAAAGGCTATACACGCGTGGCCGTGTGAGAGCATCTGGAGAGGGAGGGCGGGCCCACCCCACTCTCGGCCATGCGAAGGCACTTACGTCGTTTGTCGCAGTTACTGAAAACACTGCAATAGGATATCAAACCCTGACCTAACTACACGAAAGCCTAGTCCTTAAAGCTTTATTGAGTTTGTCTAGTTAAAAGACACACAGTCAAACATACTAACTTCTACACATGCGCTCGTTATGCTTCATTTATCGAGGTTACACACGTTAATGAAATACTCACAAATATATTTTGTTAAAAATAAAATACAAGTATAAAAAAGCTGGACAAAAACATGAATATTGCTACATGGTGCTACAAAAACGTGAGCTTGTCATGGGTTGTAGAACAGGAGTTTCTGAGACTTCATTTTCTGTCCCATTTTGCGAGGAACCAGTGGACGGATTATGGTTGTTCAATACATCAGGTATACCATTACTTTCGACTATTAAAGCAAGATGTGTACCATTCTGCTTTATTTGATCCACATGAGCAACAGATTTACGACCTTTCGGTTTCAAAAGGAGGGTATCCAACTTGACATTTGTTTCTTCAAATGCTTGTCGTCTACCAGCACTTCTAAGCCTTGCAGAGATAGGTGGAGTAATTACTTCTACAACCTGTTTTCTTGTTGATCGATGAAGTACCTTTTCGCTTTTTAGTACACTGCGAACTTGTTTTCTGAAAAAAACCATGATTTAAGCCAGATGCTTACCGATTTTGTTTATAAACCGTGGATTTGCGAGCAATACGTCCTTCCTCAGCTGGCATTGTAAAGGAGTATTTTACGAGCTACGTCAATCGTCGACTGTCATTCTGAAAAATAAAAACATTACGTCATATATTTTTTTTCCTTCAGAACCGTTAACCTTGATAGAACACTGAGAACTTTAAAAGTTCGCAGCTTGTATCTGAGTAAATCTCAGCTCTACTTAGTAATAATTGCTTAGTCTTAAATATTTGTTTACCCATGTATCTTCCAAACTAACTGATTACTGTTACACATGTAGCGAAAGACAGTTTTTGACGTATTTGTCGAACCAATCTGCAGTTGTAAAAAAGTGCACATATGAAACGTCGTACCATGGTGAGAACAAAGCATCTAAAAACATGTCTAATATAAATTCAACTAATACAGTCCCAAGTATTTATGCGCTTCTCAGTTTCCTCGGCCTTATTCTTTCATAGTAATAAACGTAACATCGCTTTACAGGAAAGAAGTACTTCAGTATTTGGATCCCTTAAGTCTCAGACAATATTCTGAAGATTGCTGGACAGTCAGTTCGTAATTATTTTTGTTATGGTAGCTCAAAGCCAAGAATGTGAACTGCTTGAATAGCTACGGTGTACCAAGTTCGGCAAAAGCAAAGGACTTTTTACGAACATAAGGCCTTCGTACTTACAATATTAGGTTTTAGACAGTCGCTCATGCTACAAATGATCTTTATAATAGCAACAAGTGCCATATATTTTGTCTACCACGGGGATCAAACCACTTGGTCAAGAGTGTGGCATGTTACATAGGGATTTAGTGCAATATTAACAACGTCCTATGGGCTCCTAAGAACCAACTATAAAAGCTTGAATATTTTGTCCAAAGGAGCTATAGTTGATGTACCAAATTAAATGACGTCTCAAGTGTATTGAAAAGTTACGATGTGTAGAGTGTCCTATTAAGTGAAAATAAGAAATCGTTAAAAGAGTAGTGAGATAATAATATATGAAAAACCTCTGGGCAACGCTAAAATGGCTTTGAGAATGTACACGTACTATCAGGGACTAAACGAGGGTAATGAAGCAGTGTGAAGATTTTTAATTGTGATTTACAGTTGATCGTCAGGGTTGAGAATCCCATTTAAGGTTTTCACCACGAACTGACATCAGGAATAATAATGACCCAAGCTGCCAATTTTGGGGAAGCCGCTATAGTAAATTTTCGGGAAATGAGATTAAACCCCTAAATTTCCCCAAACGTTGGTGAAATTTTCCCCAAACACCCCAAACGTTTCGATTTTTCCTGCAATACTTATTTAACGCAAAACCTCTACAAAAATCTCTAGACATCACGGAAGAACTAGCGAGAATGCTAACGTACATTTCTTACTGGGATGTTCTATTACTTTTCGTCAATCGCGCATTGTTAAAGAAACTTAATGTTAACCGATTTATCGCGATTATTGAAAAACTGATTTATGACATATATAAATGTTTATTACAGTTAATAAAATTACAAATGATTCATTTATACAAAGTTTTCCATTGCGTTGTAACAGCAACACCTTACGTAGATGTAGAACTGTCATTGATATTGTTCTAAAAAATAAAAAAATCATTTTTAGTGTATAATAACGTGTCAAGATATGTGAAAGGTCGATGATGTACCAACAGTATGACAATGTTGTTAATAATGCGAACAAAGAACTTACAGTTACGTCTGATAAAGCCTGCGAAGCCAGCTGAAAGGAAAACGGACAAGACAAAAGTGGTGTCAGTTTAAATAATGGTCACAAAGTAATATTGGAAGTGCAATATGTATTATAACAAACATGTTAAGTGGTTTTAGTTCACCCTTTCTTTGGAACGCCATCCACGTTTATGTACTTTATCTCTTGCGTCATGCAAGAAAGCCTGGCTTGCTGTAGCCATGGCGTGTATTATTTCCTTTTCCGGGCAGCTTGCACTTCGGAAATGTGAACACAAAGCACCTACAAATATGTTAATACAGTAATGTGTACTTACTTTGAGCCATCGAGTAAAATCTGTACTTACTAATACCAAATTTACTTCTGGTTCCGTGCAAAGTGTAAGTGTTCGCCAGTTCCGGCGAAAGGAGGTATTGCAGACAGGCTTTCGCTGATTTCCGAGGATCCTCACATAGTAGGTGGTATAATCTTTCCACCTAAAATTTGTTCAAACACCTGTTACAACTTACGAAATGATCCCGGAAATTTCGGTTTTCTGAAGCAGCCTCTAAAGAACGCAACTCCTCATATGTTCTTAATGGGAAAGTGATAGCACCACTATCCTTTTCTTCCATACACCTGTCACTTACACCCATGGCTAAGCGTTCACATACAGCGATCACTTTATCCATCTTGCTAGACAGTTCAGTGACCGCTTTCAGGATAATTCTGAACATTTGATTCGTATCATCGCACAAACTTTTGTTATCAGGAACACAGTAAATGCAACTTATCGCTTATTAACTTCCGTAGACGTATGTGGAAGTGGTGGTGATGATACATCAGCATCTGATGAACTGCCATATGAGTAATAATAAAGTAGGTACAAACCTCGCAATAGGCGAAAAGTTTCTTGTCAAAATGTTGACAACTGGAAATTCCACCGGGGCAAATCCAGCTTCAACCTCAGCAACCTCTAGTTCTTCAGAGGTGCATAGATAATACTTTCGACTACCAAAATCGACACCCTCAACAATGTCCTGCTCGATTCTGCGTCAGAAAATCCACCGTTATGCATCGTTGTGGTAAGTTGTAATCAATTTACATTTATTGATTCTAGACGACTACAGTGTTACCTACCAAATAGTGTGTTTAACAACAGTATTGGGCTACAAGAATAATAACCTTAGCAGGAGCGATGAAACACAGCCCTGTGAATTTGAAAAGCCGAAAAGGTAAATTGTTTAGCTTATTATATCATTTGTGTTAGGACTGCCAAACGAAAGCACAAGGATTATCTATGCACCTCTGAAGAACTAGAGGTTGCTGAGGTTGAAGCTGGATTTGCCCCGGTGGAATTTCCAGTTGTCAACATTTTGACAGGAAACTTTTCGCCTATTGCGAGGTTTGTACCTACTTTATTATTACTCATATAGCAGTTCACCAAATGCTGATGTATCATCACCACCACTTCCACATACGTCTACGGAAGTTAATAAATGGTAAGTTGCATTTACTGTATTCCTGATAACAAAAGTTTGTGCGATGATACAAATCAAATGTTGAGAATTATCCTGAAAGCGGTCACTGAACTATCTAGCGAGGTGGATAAAGTGATCGCTGTATGTGAACGCTTAGCCATGGGTGTAAGTGACAGGCGTATGGAAGAAAAGGATAGTGATGGAATCATTTTCCCATTAAGAACGCATGACGAGTTGCGTTCATTAGAGGCTGCTTCAGAAAACCGAAATTTCCGGGATCATTTCGTAAGTTGTAACAGGTGTTTGAACAAATTTTAGGTGGAAAGATTATACCACCTACTATGTGAGGATCCTCGGAAATCAGCGAAAGCCTGTCTGCAATATCTCCTTTCGCCGGAACTGGCGAACACTTACACTTTGCACGGAACCAGAAGTAAATTTGGTATTAGTAAGTACAGATTTTACTCGATGGTTCAAAGTAAGTACACATTACTGTATTAACATATTTGTAGGTGCTTTGTGTTCACATTTCCGAAGTGCAAGCTGCCCGGAAAAGGAAATAATACACGCCATGGCTACAGCAATCCAGGCTTTCTTGCATGACGCAAGAGATAAAGTACATAAACGTGGATGGTGATCCAAAGAAAGGGTGAACTAAAACTGCTTAACATGTTTGTTATAATACATATTGCACTTCCAATATTACTTTGTGATCAATATTTAAACTGATACAACTTTTGTCTTGTCCGTTTTCCTTTCAGCTGGCTTCGCAGGCTTTATCAGACGTAACTGTAGGTTCTTTGTTCGCATTATTAACAACATTGTCATACTGTTGGTACATCATCGACCTTTCACATATCTTGACACGTTATTATACACTAAAAATGATTTTTTTATTTTTTAGAACAATATCAATGACAGTTCTACATTTACATAAGGTGTTGCTGTTACAACGCAATGGAAAACTTTTTATAAATGAATCATTTGTAATTTTATTAACTGTAATAAACATTTATATATGTCATAAATCAGTCTTTTAATAATCGCGATAAATCGGTTAACATTAAGTTTCTTTAACAATGCGCGATTGACGAAAAGTAATAGAACATCCCAGTAAGAAATGTAAGTTAGCATTCTCGCTAGTTCTTCCGTGATGTCTAGAGATTTTTGTAGAGGTTTTGCGTTAAATAAGTATTGCAGGAAAAACCGAAACGTTTGGGGTGTTTTGGGGGAATTTCTCCAACGTTTGGGGAAATTTTGAGGTTTAATCTCATTTCCCGAAAATTTACTATAGCGGCTTTCGCAAAATGGGCCAAATTTTCCCCAAAATTAGTAGCTTGGGAATGTACAGATTTACACATGCATTTTAAAATCACTTAGGGTACACGACTTACAATGAAAAGTCCGATGAGAAATCTCTCCCACGAAGTGTTGAGATCTAGTTATATAAATACGGTACATAACTTTAGGCGACAGGTCGGTTGCTATATGTACCAAGTGAATTATGTGAAATGAAAAACGCTCATACTTACCGCTTTAAAATAGGTCGAACAAAGCACTGGAATGTATCCGTTAGAGCGTTGATCCATTTAAACTGTTTAGCAGGAAACTTCGAGAAGTTAGGTTTTACATATTTTCAGCAAACTTTCAACGAAATAGGTAGAAGTACTAAACTCATCTTTACATATGATGGCTTGATCGCGCGCTATCTAAAAAAGGACAGTGGTATTGTTTCTCGTTGAATTAGTTAACTGTTTTGATCGTAAATTACGTATCAAACTACGATTTGCACTTTAATTGAATCCACTACAGTTGAAGTGATATTCTATTGGCGGTTTTTGGCTTGTGTGTATTTATTACTTTGAAAGCATTCTTGGTCATATCAAAGTACTTTATATAAGGTTTAAAATCTTGCTGAAGTTTGTCTTGTGATAACCTTTTATCCTAGGATCGGAGAAGCAACGGGATCTCTTGTTAAGTAGCGCTCGTTGTCGCGACAATTCTGACATCCGACCTGACATGATAGATAGGATAAAAGGAAGAAAGCACTAGCTGAACTTGAAGCCCGTCGGCAAAACAGCGAAGAAAGTCTCCGGCTAGTAGGTTTTCGGATAGTCAGGTCTTGGAAACAAATGCTATCAAGGCCTGTGTAGATAGACTGTTCTACTAAGAGTTTTATATGCCAACGCTCGTATTCTAACGAAATAAGTCCTATGAACTAGAAGCACTAGTGGACAGGTTAAAGCTATCATAGTAGCAGTGACAGAAACTTGGTCAGTCCATGACTTAGAATTACTCCAGAATTATCCGGATACCATTACATCAGGAGTGATAGACATGGATGTAGAAAGGAGGCGGCGCTACACTTGGAATACGGCGAAGGTCAAACTTTACACAAGGTTTTCCGCCAGCATTTTCTGTTATGGTGATTATAATTAATTCTCAAATAAAAGTCTGCAACATGTGGCATGCCAGTTTACAGGCAAGATCAAATTGTTACAGAAATGCAGTTTCCACCGTAATGCACCACTCAGTTAGTTTGATATTTTATAGGGTACATTGAACATAAAAGTACGGATGATAATACTTCTCACATATCAATACAAATAATATTTGTGAGAACCGTGTTGTCAATTTGACAGTTGGCGAGCTATTAGACGTAGTGTTGCGACGTGCAACTGACAGTCGGGAGTAAATACACGTACTTTTGAGAGCTTTTATAACCTGAGACATTAAAAATGGCATAGGACAAAGTCTCCCGTTTCATATTTGTTTTCGATGAAATATCTTGATAGGGCTGAAAAAATGGGTAAGAAAAACAACGGACGAGAAGCAGAACAGACAACGTTCATGCATATCGAAATTGAGCCATTGGCAATGAAATAGTGATTGTATGACAACTTAGTCTAAATATCTATTATCAAAGTACTTTTTAAGCAAGAGTATTCTAGCAGGTTGAAGAAAACAAGCGTCAAGATGTAATGAATTAAGAAAGAACTGTATAATAATAATTTATTTTCAAATAGCAGTTTGTTACATGAGGTTTGCCAGTTTTAATGCAAGATGAAATTGTTACAAAAGATACCATTTACACTGCAGTAAATTACTCGGGTGGGTTGATATTTCATATGATAAGAATGTAGTTAGTTTTAGCAAAATCGTATTGTCAGTATCACAATTGACGCGCTCTATAAACGACGTGCAACTGACGGTCAAGAATAGATCTGTGTGAAGTCGGGGGCTTCTAGAAACCGCGACCTTATATCCCTCTGGAATACCTGGGGATTTGATGACGGTGCAAGATGAAGTCACCCGTTCCATATCTGTTTTCGGTGGCATATCTCAAGGGGGCTGAAAAAGGGAGGTAATTCAAAAAGAAGTTGAAATTATAGGATTATATGAATTGCTGAAATATAGCACTGAAAACAGTATTCTGATACACAAAAGATTGTCTCCCGTTTTACTCGAAGCTGTTTCTGTTCATTTTTAATTTTATCGATTTTATAGGGTCATGAGTACTCATTCGTCTTTACCAAATTGTCTAGTTTTGTTCGTAAAAGGATTACTCGGTAGGACGTGAAACCGATTCAACGTCACAAAAACGATTTGAAGAGATAGTTTGTATGCAAAATCAACATCAATATCACTTTTTAATAACATTCCACTAGAGCATAAGGAGCCGTAATTTAACAAAATGTTCTGAGTGTCTGGTTATCGCTTTTTGCGTTTACGTACCTTACACGTGTTAGCTAAGAGCTTTTAACTTATGACTAGACAGTATGAAAAAAGTATCTTTGGGCTGCCGATACTCAAGAGGATGATTTAAATGTGTGGCGAAAAGATGTCTGAAATTTTCCAAAACCCGGACATTAAAAAAAATGTAGCAGACCAAAGAGACGAAGTGTGTTTGAAAACAGGTACCTGATAAACAGGAGCCCCAAAATTAGGATACTGTGGCGTTTCAGGTCTGTTTCTCACTTTTTAAAAAGCATAGGTCAAAAAAACCAACTTAACTGTCGTACAAGACTAGGTCTGTATTTAGCAGGACTTCTAAAGTAGTGTTTGAAACTTCAAGTGAAATATGTCTAAAATCAAAAACTGGCTCAGAATGAAAATATCGAAAACTGCACTCAGTTGAAGGCATCATAGCTCACTAACGAGATTTCATTGTGGATTTTTTAGGGACATATTTCATTCTGCTTTTAACTCAAATAAGATTACTAGACAAAAGAGAGGACACCATAAAATGTTCTGTTTTCAAACGGGTACACACACATAAACCTAATAACCACCAGCACTTAAGTTTAACTGGCATGACTGGTAAAAATCACGAAAAGATTATTCGGAGGTGGTTACTTAGGTATTCGGATAAGAAATTCTCTCCGAAAGTCAAAATGATTGAGACTAGGTTATTTAGATCTCAAAGACATTTTGGCAACTCGATGAACATGATGCCGTCTTAGAGACTAAAGCCAACTCCTGATGCAGCCTTTGTCAATTTAGCGATATTTCTGACAAAGTTCAACGCATAGGGCTATCTTAACCTAGTTATATCAAGACAAGAGATGACTTATTCATGCGAGTGAATGCATTCCTAGTTGGGCTCCAACAAAGATTCCAAGTTGTGAAGGAGATTTGTTTCATCTGAAAGCCTCATTGCTAGGACCAGCGCGCAGTTGATTATTCAGTTTGTCAGCAGTTCAAGAAAACACGACAAGGGAATGGTAAATTGAATGCACCGAATGCATAATGAATATCAGTATACATCTGCACATCAGTTGAGAAATTTGTTTAGTAATGTTTACAGCTAACAGAATTATAAATAACAGATAGTTAGCAAATACGTACACTATCACATATACAAATACATGCGACAAAACGAAACAGATCACAATAACATAAAGATCACAAGCAAAGATAATTTATATCGAATGATTGGGGGCTCACTCTAGTTAGACGGGAATGGTTTGACAAACGGCTAACACCGAAATCACACCTGGCTCCCAGGATCTAACGTATATTACCCCTTCGTCGTATCAAAGTACTATGGCTGCTTTGAAGACCGTGTAACACAAAAAATATTATTACAGAAATGTATTAGTAAAAGTGGGCACAACGGAGAAGTTACGACCACCAACGCGTGGGCCAGTCCATGGCGTGCAGCTGGCTAATGCGCGCCGATTGTTCTTGGAATTGACGAGGATCAGTGAACAGTTCGACATTCAGTGACCCAACCATCGAGTGATTTAGCTAGGACCCGCTGATATTTCACTGGCCCTGAAAAGCCATTCAAAAGTCAGAAAATATCAACACCATAATTTGCACCGACCTGTCATATTGGTTGATTATACGACAGTTAATTTGATTAAATACATGAATCAAGTGTATAAGATTCACATTAGGTGGTCACAGACCCTCTACCAAGGACGTGCCAATGATTTGGTATAACGGTTTTAGTCCCACGACATGATCGTCAGTAAGCAGTAAACTTGGTTTAATTGCAAGATATTTAGTTTACCTTCTCTTAAACGCTTAAACGACTATTTCACTGATAAGAATTCATTGAGTAATATCTCCATCTCAAGGACTATATAGCAATCCTTCTCAAATAATTTAGGCCAATAATAACGGCGAAATATGTTCTTCTCATTGCTTCATAGTAGTAATAAAATAATGTCGAAGTCTAACCACATGCCCGTTTCAGTAAAGTGTACACTACACTAACAGGCGCTGGATAAAATGTCGATGGGGTCATTCAAAGACGCAGAAAATCAATGAATAAAGCCGAATTTGTTAACCATGCAGAGGTGACCACTCTACATGTTACACTCGTCATTGTAATAAGTATGGTAAATATGGAGCCTCTCATCATTAGACCACTAAGGAGTATGTTTTACGACGATTATCAACGGTGTGAATACACAAAAGAAATCCTAACTGCTAGGTAGCGTTGTAGTTAAAAAGCACAGGAACAGCATACAAGCTGTGAAGGATCAAAGTTTGAGCAACACGTGTTACTCGTATTAAGAAAAGTAAGTAACTGTATAGAAAATTATAAATATGGTCCATAAATTTGATGCACTTCATCAGCCAAACAGATGAACGAGTAGCCAAGCACATCAAAACGTACAAAGAAATACGTTGGCCGAATAAACTGTAAATAAGTATAAAACACCTATGTAATTATTGGTTTTGTACCAGATCACTCAAGTGCAGCCTTCGATAAACATGTCTTGTAGGTTTATCACAGTACAACCCTAAGTTCAACCAGACAGGTTCCGCGCAAGCCCAAAGGGTTGTGAAATGAAACTTCTACAACGACCTATCTTTGAAAGAAATAGATGATATGAATTTCGGCTTCAGTGAGGCAGTGAGACGACCATAAAAAATGGAGACTGAAAACTACAACGGGTGGAATTCACAACATAATTACTATAAAGTAGGTTGGTGGACAAACATAACCGGCTGATTTTAAGAACTCTATACTTTAAAATGTCAAGTCTGAAGGTAAATATTTACTGTTAGTATTTATGAAGATAAACAAGATCTTTCAGTCTTTACAAGCGCTTTAAATTCTAGACAGAACAGTTAATTTGGGTCTACAGTCACTATGAAACAGTTTATTAACAAAAGAAAAACCTTCGTT